TTGCACCACCGATCATTTGATGTCGACCCCAAGACCGTTACCGTTTGGCTATAAATAATAAAAATAAATATTTCCAACACACACCAATTAGCCTAGCCCCAAAGTAAGCACTGTAAGGCTTGTGTTATGGGATACTAGGGTAACGGATAGAATACATATACAGTACATATATAAGTATATTTATATAGAAATACATATTAAACTTCCATGACTGGAGTACAAATGCTCGTGTTCATCACACAAACATCTGCCCCCACCGGGATTCGAACCCGGGACCTCTCGAGAGACGACACCTTGAAACCCGGCGTACAAACCAATTGGCCAAGGAGGTCGTCTATCTGTCTCTTGTAGCTAATTATAAAATTATACCTATCTTGTGCCAATTACTCTACTTCCGTTTCATCGAATCTCAAGTCACAACGATACTAAAGAAGTTTTCACTTCAAAAGCAAAATATTATTTTAAATGCTTAGTATTAATGTAAATACCTTAACTAAGAAAACAATAAAGTAACGAATCATAAACAAAAGGTCAAAGTTCAAAGGCAGGTATTCAGTTTTACTGCTTGCTCGGCGTATCTGAAGGGCCATCGGTGGCCTCTAACCTCTGCCAGGGCCGGAGTCGAGCACCCTCGATTGACCTCGACAAAAGCTTAGCCACATGTTTAAATATCCATATATAAGTTGCTTTCCACGTAGTTACATCAAAGAAATAAAGACCAGACCGTACTAACAATAGGCAGGACAATGACTGTTATAGGTAGCTATATTTTTTACGGGACCTTTACATGGAACCCTTATAGTTTCGTCATGTCCGTCTGTCCGTCCCCGGTTTTGCTTGGAGACTATTAGCACTAGAGTTTTTTTAACGTAGTTCACACAACCACGTCATGCTCCCATAGCCTACATAGGTTTTTTTTCCTCATATGGATTTATGGATCCTTTAGCGAAATGTTGAACATAAAGTGTGAAGTACTGATTTTTGTTCGGCGTAGGTAGGCGTGTCCCCCCCCCCCCCCTTCTTTAAAAGCTAAACTATTTGCTTGAAAATCCTAGAAAATTCATGGTAATACTGCTTTCCATGAACTTTTAAGGAAAACTATAACGGTTAAGATAGATTTGTTACTTTAGTAGTTATATTCGTTCAACTTTGGTTAAAGACAATTTCTGACCTATTGAAAATTCTTTAGAAGAAATCATTAATAATAAATAGCATAAATGAAGTTATTGTAGCGTAAAACATTGCATTGCAACAAAATCTTTTAACAAACTATTTAAAAACCACAATAAAATATCATTAGTTTCACAACGCTACCGCTAACGTTACGTTTTTATAAAAAGTCTATAAGCACTTGAAAAAATCGGCGGTTATGGCGCATCATCTCCTTCTCAGGGGATGATCGCTTCAAATGAAGCTTTTGATCAGTAAGAGTCTGTCATAACCATACAGCCGGCTGTAGGGTATCCATGAGGATTTCACACCCGCTTTCCTACCTGTATCATTCGTATAAAAAAATCGAATTGATTTTGAGTTTGAGACACAGTTTGACTTTGATTTGGGTATTTTAGTTGAAATACATAGATTGATATTAATTGTTTTTTCTAATTTCCGATATAGGAAATAAAGACTCCTCCTCAAATAAATTGTGGTAACTACAGGCAACTACGGAACCCTACACTGCGCGTGGCACGGCACGCACTTGGTCGATTTTTTTTAGTAAATATTTTTTTTAGAATTAAATATCCAGCATTTAAATGCTTAAAAAAATAAAAATATAACTATAATTGCTATTTTTTTTTCAAATGTTTAATACTCGTAAAGGTATTCATTTGACATTGTGGGTGACCTACAATGCGAAGATCTGCCGACTTATCCGCGTGGATTTTCAGGTAGTTATAAGACTTTCGAGGATTACAATTTGTTTTTAAAGAGATAACTTCTTGAGCCAATGGTCACTTTGGAAAAAAGTACTTTATTGTTTGATAATATAAACATAACTAAAAGTATAGACTAAAGTTTTTGTTTTCGGGCTTTTCTTGTATTTTACATGCAAACCTATAATGAAGAACTATCTAAGTGATAGTGAAAACTAGCATGAAAATCCGTTCAATACTTTTGATATTATTGCGAACACACAAAAGGACGCAGCCGCAGAGACAGCGTTTGATCCACACGCGGGTTAAATCTCTCTTTACAATCATTTCAAATATTCCCGCCTGAGTAGGTGATTCACAGCTTACTTAAATCATATAGAACTACCCTGACACACGCAGGTTATTATCAAAACTTTCGCCTGGCTCCGGCCGGAGATCGCGAATACGTTAACTGCCATCTTCGGGAACGTACGCTTTCTATTTTGAACGACTAAACTTCTAATCCATTGTAATTCTTAAATCTACTAATATATAAACAAGTGGCTGTGTTCGGAGTAGCCATTTTGATAACATACCACGAAAAGGACTGTCTACAAACCAGTGGCTAGCCACCTCAGCTGCTGTAGTATACGGCACCGCTCCTTAAAAACTACCTCGCGCCTAAACGAAAAGCGTGCTTACAGGATAGCTGGGGTAACATTTGTGAGTACCTACAGCTTGTTGTCAACACCTCCTACTGTCCCTGCTTCTAAACGACGGGAATAAACTACAATAAATCGCTCCCGACCCTGAGTGCCCTCTAGGCCTTCACCCACAAAACGACGTTGGCACACTTAGGTTATCTGTAAAATATGTCATTCTTGGATGAATCCCTTTCAAATTGTAAAGCTGGAGACTGCTAGTAACATCTTGGTGTAGTGTAACAAGTTTGAGTGACACTCACCATATAACTCTCTATACTCGACTACCGCGTTTTTTCGTGAAATTCTTTGAATGTTAAGCTGAAGACTTACTTGTACCTTGTTTTTTTGAGTGTGTATGCTGTTTGTCTCAGATGACCTTTACAGCGTCACTGGATTTGGGGACGGCGAGATCCTAGGGAGACCTCAAGCCAAGAATTAGCGAGTGCCTCTAGAGGTATTTCAGGCGGCGTCTCCTCTCCATTTAAGCCCTCTAGACCACAGAACACAGAAAGGGGTATGTTTTGTGCTCTTGACCACTAGAACCTGAGGGGGTCGGATCAACTAAAGAGCCTAGAGTCTCTGAAACTCTTACATCGGCTGTAGTTAACCGTTCTCATGGGGAACGAACGTAACGAAAGTGTAACGTGAAACGAAGTGAAATTGCTTTACGCACGCTTGACTTGGAGGGTAAGCTGGCGATTGCGTTACGCGTTACGAAAAGTGTGTACGGGCGAGACGAACGGGAGTTGAGTGGGGGATATAAGCAAGAGAAAGCACTTCTTTCTCTCTTACTTTTATAGCTAGTAAGATTTTTTTTATATAATTAATATATATTATATATAAAAATATATATTAATATTAAGATATTTTTGCACATCAAAGATTTCTTTATAAATTGCTAAAAGGGCAATGAAACCCTTGAAGGCATATTTTACCGTATTCAAACCCCCTCATGACATGAGTCACGAGCGGAGAGACAAGGAAGAAGGGAAATATCAATGTTTCGAGTAGGCAAATAGGTACTCAACTAAAACAGGTACGGGAAAGAAACATCCAATGAAATTATTTACAGGCCTACATTGTTACGGAAATTGTTCGTACTCGAAAACCTTTATTATAGGTCCCTATTTACCCGGACGAGTGGGCACGTATGCATAGCACGTGAACTCGGCCAATTAAACTTTTTGTGGTTACCGCGCCGCGGTAACTCTATGTCCTCTCCTGTGTATTTTTCGAGGGTGAATTAACGAATACGCATTTAATTTTCGGTGCTGTAAAACAAATGAAAACTCAATTAATTTATCACGAGTCAATATGGTGGGATAAAATATTTAAGGCTAAGTTCAGATGGTTGCGCTACGACGCGCGTACATTTTAAGGAGCGTATAGCTTTTAAATCATTACTTAAATGACCGTTTAGAATCAAGCGAGCTTCTAACTCGTCCTACTCTACAGGGCTTATCTTCACAAACTCTACACATTGGTCAAATTAAACTCTTTCTAAAATACCTGTTCACAATGGTCCACTATGGCGATCAAAAAAGTGGCCATCATCGCCGTGATGATGGGTTGCTCTCTACACAATCGTGACTGTTTTTGATAGACGTCGAAGTGACAACAACTGCTGCTATGTATTTGTTAGGGAAGTAAACGATGCACATAACCAAGAGGTCATCTCTTGGTTTTGTGCATCGCTTCTTGGTGAGTCAAGCGTTGCGGAATCGTAAGGCGTTGAGTGTGGACCTAAAGAACATCCTTGAAGAAATAAGAGAAGTTAACGTTAGCTTGTGGACGGTCAGAAGGGGGCTTCAGAAATCAGAAATCAATATATCTTTATTCAAATTGGATGTATAGTACAACTCAAAAAAATAATTGCCAGAATTCACTTAACGCATATTGATTTACACGATTATGAGTATACAGACTAGAAATCGACCTTAAATTGTAAACCTTAGGTGCCCGCTTTGCAAGAGTGTATGTGCCTTGGTCATTTCGCTACATTCAGGCGAGCGTAAGGTGAAAATTTATCCGCTGTTCATAACTTTTCTGTTATACAATAGTTATTGTAGTAACGAAACGGCCACGTATTTTGAAGTCTATTAAGTAAGGACGTGTAGGGTAAGCGCATGCGCACATTAAGCAACTATTAGCGGCCACTTGTCGCGACCACAAGCTACGAGTACTTTCATACATTTTGTATTTTCGAATTTACGGAATTTAATTTTACTCAGCATACCGTTGTCACCAACCACAGAATATACTCTTTCTGTGTCAGCAACACATAACAAAACAGTCGCCTTATAGTATTGGCACATCCTTTTGGTGTATTCTATGTTTAATGAAACGACATTATCGTCATTAATTTCTTTTTATTTAACATGAAAAAATGTAGATAATTCCATCATAATAACGCAATATTTCAAGAGATAATTGTCAGAAAAAGTCAGTAACATTTGGATAGCAATTTGATATCACATCACAAAAGAAACAAAATATTTTAACCATGATTACGTTGTAAGTTTTTCAATCTTTCAGATACACATTTTACATTTAGTATGAGGAGACATTGCAGACATTGCATCATAAATTTACTACATAGTACTTTCTTGAATACAATTAATTCCAAAGTATAAGGTCTTAAAAAATCTTGATGATTTTACTTTTTGGGATATTGGTTTGATACCGGCATGATTCTCTAAACTTAAAACTAAATTTAACATCAGTCTCCCCTTTTCGTTCTGTATAGAGAATGACAAGGATACACTGTTGTAAAGTTTAGAAAATCATGCCATAATCGACACTATTTTTTTGTTTATTTACAATATGAAGTACTACAGGCTTGAGTTTAAGTATAATTATGAAATTTACATGGTTATTGAATTAAGCAGAGGTAATTCATCAATCAATCATAACCTATTACAGCCTGAAGGTAACAAACACTATGTTGTTATACAAATACGTGTGTATCATATAGTCCATGAGCTTTCGGTAACGGTTCTCTTGTAATGTAAGAAATTCGTTTAATGAACTATAAACTTAATAGCATGCCATGTATAGTAGATATATTAAAGTGTAATTTATTAAATATGCATACAAGCTGAAATCATTGTAGGTACCTAAGGACACTTGTGTAATCTTCCATATGACTTCATGCAAATAAATGATTGATTGATAGTAACCATATTTATTTAAAGATATTGTTACCTCTACCTTAATATAGCATGCTATAACTCATCAACAAACTTTCTAACCTTGTAAGAGATCCGTTACAGGGATGGTTCATAAGCTCTTAGTAAAACAGAAATGGTTAAAATACAAATTATTTAAGAATGTATAACAAATGAATGAGAGCTGATCTAACAAAATTGTCATTAATAAACACATGTACACGAAAAAATTGATTAATTATATGAGATTGCAATTACAAAATATTATTTTACATAACTCAAGTGAGTATAAATTTTGCAGGAAATATAAGCTGACAAGCTGTTTGTTGTTTCCAACGAAAGACTAAACTTTAAATATGAGTTGTTTTGATTAGGTATAGGTGCTGCAGGCGGATTGTAGATTTCGTCGTAATATATTCGCTTTTTATTATGGTGGATCGACGATAAGCGGGATCACATTACGGCTAAAGAAATATCCGACGTTTTCGATGGAGCTTCGGTGAAGCCATTTTTTTCGCTAGATAATAATAATGGTGGCAGTGAAGGAAGTTAAAAATAACATAAAAAAACTAATAAGTTTTCAATCATCTATAGTTTATAGTTTAAAGTTTTATAACATATTATAATACGAACACAAGTACTTTTAAAGTATAAAGATTCTTTTAAAGGAAATTTATTAGAACGTCATGAATTTTCGACAGTAAAAGAGTAACATCTACATCCCTCTTCAAATTAAACGTCAGTAAAGCAAGAGTATTGAATTGTAATTTTAAAATATTTTTTAAAATATAAATGTATGAGCATACAAAAATATAAATATATGAATATAGCGAGCATGCTATCATATTCGACGACATTAGTCCATTTATTTGTTCGTGAGAATTTTTCCCCGGGGAATTTAATATCATCCATTGATTTTCACAAAATGTTCCAAACATTCCCTTAAATTCTGGTTCAGTGTATTGACTGTTAACTGAAACACAGAACAGATATCATTGGTATAGGTAGCGGCACACTTCTTGAGCCACAGCCAACATTTAACAAACTTGCGCAGTAGACGTATTTGTATGTAAAATTGCTGCTGTACAGGCTCTTCCATGGTCAATTGATAAATTATTTAATGAATTACTTAATTCATCAACGACCATAGTCGTTCTTAAGAAGTTTTCCAGGGTGTAATATACAAACTTTTAACATAATTCATGCTTTTATCTCAAACAATTCACCTTTATTTCTATACCATTGACGGGTCAAATATGGCTCATAGCAAATGCTGGTAAATTTGCAAGCCCGAATCCAGCAAGACCTAGTATAATTCAACCTTAAAAGGAGTAGTACCTAAGTGGTATACTAAGCGCCCGCGAATAAGGAGGAATAAGCAGTTCAAGCACGCACTAAAGAAGTAAGATTTACTATACTTACTGGTGTGATGAATACGAGCGTTTGTACTCCAGTCATGGATGTTTAATATGTATTTCTATATAAATATACTTATTTACGTATTCTATCCGTTACCCTAGTATCCCATAAGACAAGCCTACAGTGCTGACTTTGGGGCTAGGCTAATAAAGTGGTGTGTGTTGGAATTATTATTATGTTGGTACACTTTTCAAACTCGGGTTCATGGGAACCCGGTCGTTTGAGGCGCTCGTGGGACCAAAGCCAACATGAAGAGGCCTTTTTGTACATTTTTATCTAAAAAGTGAGATGGCTGCATCTATGAAGGTCTATCTCTTTATTTACAGTCTTCTATAGCTGCCGAACTATTGCCAGGGAGGGATTTACTTGGTTCGGGCTATGTGGATAGGATTTTATTGGACCGGATAACTGGATTATGAAATGAGATACGGACTAAAAATCTCTTAATTCTAGCTTGGTAGCTGGTGCCTTGCTGCTCGTTGGCAACACTGCCTGTGGGCACCCTAGATGCGACCGGCGCAACATAATGTGAGCAGCTGAGGGTGTCCATATTATTATTATTAACCAAATGGATCACTAACTAATGAAGCTATGCAGTTTCTTTGATCTCACTGAGCTTTCTTTTAACTCTTTTGACAGCTCTGTAATCGTACCGTCATGGACAAATATTATATGAAAGAAGCCAGCCAACCTTACGTCCGGTAGGGGCAGATCAAAACAAAGCAAGTTTTAATAAAAACTTTGACGATACGTTACTATTACGGAGCTGTCAAAATTCATACTTGAGCCTCTGTAAACAATTCCAGTTGGGCACCGCTGCTTTCAAGTATAATGTGTAAAGAGTAAGTAAAACATAAATGGATTTACATTGTAGGTGTGACATAACATGTGTGTACACGTGACGTACGTATACCACTGGGTTAAATATCGCAGTTGAAATAGAACGTATAATTCGGACGGGAAAGATATTTCCATAAAAAATCAGCTACCAAATATTTCAATTACAACTGTAAGGAGCAGTGGGAAAGTGGTGGAAGTAGCTTGCTATCCCATACGCACTTGTTGCTGTTATGACGATTACGACATGAATACGAATTTTGAACAGATTTTAATGCATTCGACACAATTTTTAATAATAGTAAGAATAAATCGATAACTACCATATTGTTCACAAGCAACAGATGAACTAACTTGATGATGATGATTCACAACTGACTACATAGGTGCAAGCAATAAAAAATATTTTCTGGGAGTGCTTATATCAGTGTTACCATCTATGATTTTAGTTATCTTTTTATGTTAACAGACAACAAATAAGCTTATGGAACGACAAATTGTAAGCGGTCATAGTTGATTAGTCACACGTAAACAACTAGGTTGATTTGGTTAAATGAACATGTGAATCCTATTTAGTAAGCAAGTGTTTTATATTCATCGAAATTATAGTGCGGCGTCGTCAAATCCCATGCTGTCAGTTCGTTGGTCATTTAATTTAAAGCTTTACTGGAAATAAAATTAAGCGTATTTTGCTTTAAAAGCATAGTCTCTTGACACGTGCACGTGAATACCGTATGAAAAAATCATAGCGTGAAAAAATAAATCTATACGCGGCCTAACGTGTGTTTACATATACAAAATAATTACCTTTAAGAAGTTTTAGTATATTTACTTACTTTTTCATACGCTTATCAAAAGCTACCCACTCAAATTGTGACTTTATAAAACGCGACGACAATTATGTTAACAACTGAGAAAAAAATCCTGCACTGAGAATAGTTATTTATGATATTAATGCGGTAAGGTTGGTAACGAGTAGACAAACGAGTAGACGAATGTAAGCCCGAGACGAAATCGAGGGTTTACCATAGTCACAAATTTGTTAAGACCAATTCCGCACGAATGTCATACAACGTTTTTCAACACATTTGCGAGAAAACAGTATAATTTTTAAGTAATGAAGCAAACTTTTTCTAAGAAGATAATGGCGGTCATTTCCACGTGGCACCACGTGCTAGTGAAAATTAGAATTACATCTTTCGGCTCTGTTTCTTTTTTTAGTATTAAAGTGAGACGAACATATAGATCAGAAGCGCTTCCAAGAATGTTTCGTAAAGGATAAGCACCGTGCCATATACCGGAGCGTGCGGTAAAAATTCTACCGCACGACCTGTTGTATGGTGCGTAATTTTGAACTTTCGAACAATGTATATAAACAGAGGTTGTATACATTGTTTGAAAGTTCAAAAATGCATTTTTTTAGCAAACATGTTGAAAACTATATTAACGTTTGAATTTGATCCATAAACTCGTTGTACGAACAAAATATAGGTAAGGCCTATTCTAATTAAACGAAAAACGAAATTTCGATCGAAACTTCGCACTTTTCTTACTGTGTTTCTGGTTCGTTTTTAATTATAATAATATTCGTCGTCATAGATGATTCGATAGTAGGTGTAGATTTTCCAAGCCTATTTAAATAAAGCTTCAATTTGATAGTTTATCGTTCAAATCAAGTATAACCTTAAATTGACGAAATTGAATTTCGTTTGAACTTCGTTATCGAAAGTTCGTTTCGGAGAAAGAGAGTAGACCCCCAGGATACCAAAAAAATACAAAATTCTGTTGAACTTTAAAAAAACAAATAAGGTTGAAAATTGATAAGAGAATTTTGATAGTTTTTACTTTAGACTGAAGAGCTACTATGTTTCAACCTTCAAGTTGTTTGTGCCACATATTGGTCATACGTACTCATTAACTATTAACATCTGCTTACCTAACCCTAGAGTAGTTAGACTACATTAGCTAACTTCACATTTATCATATGCGAGGTCAAATTGCACCTCCATTGTGGGTCATTTACATTTGACGAGTATCCGAAGAGCACAAAAAGGAACACTTGTATCATTTGCCCGATAATTATGTGATACGATTATTATTAAGTGTAAAAAAAATCAGCTGTAAACAACTTGTTGGATATATCTATATATATAAAACTAAAAGGTGACTGCCTGACTGACATAGTGATCTATCAACGCACAGCCCAAACCACCGGACGGAACGGGCTGAAATTTGGCATGCAGGTAGATGTTATGACGTAGGTATCCGCTAAGAAAGGATTTTGATCAATTCTACCCTGAAGCGAAGCGAGGGCGGGCCACTAGTTTATTCATAAAAAAGGTATTTAAGGTGAGAATTAGATGATCGTTCCTTAACATTATTTTTGTAAGTTGACTGTACGGTTAGGCTTCCTTAGTGTTCTAAGTATAAATCCAATAATACATACATATTTTCATTGAAGCTTTGTCGTATATTCAGACATGTAAAATACAAGCTGCATATACAGAAATCGAACCGGGCAAATGATACATTGTGTAACCAGCCTTAGTTTTACACATAAACATGGTAGAGAAGTTGAGACAAATATTTAAAGCGACCTTCCAATATCCATTGAGCAATAATTATGTAAATAACATTGTTCTATGACCATCAGAAGTCAAAATCAGCTGATACAAACAGCCAAAGCATAAATAGGATCTTTCAGAACTTTGAATATTTATTTAAAAACATCATCATTTACGAATATAAAGTTTGTAGACCCGAGCCAAGGCGCTGCTGAAAGAAAGGAAAATACATCGAGCCTTATTTTTAAATTCGACAATTCGAAACAGGTGAATTGGGAATTACGTCAACACATGATAAATTAAAATAAATTATTTCAACACTCCTCCAGTAGATAACGAACGTTACGCACTTAGCTATTTACATTACTTAGCGTTAATTATTTCAAGTGTTCCGAATAGTTTCACTATGTATGCGTGGACTTAATCACAAGCGCCGCAAAACACTAAAAAAGTCAGTTTCGCTTAACACGCTTTCGTTTCGGGCCCCTGTGATATTATGTGAACTCGTTGAATTGTGCGAGAGCAGTCTTCACCCTGTAAAATAGAAGTGCATTAGTTGGTTTATATATAAATAGACGGAACGGTTTAAGTCTGGAAAAGTAAACTGCTATCACGTTTTTATCTTAAGAATGAAAAATTACAAGTGACGTTACAGCACGCGGTTCGCAACCTTATGTCGGCACTTTACTTGGCTATTTGTGCTTATTATTTGTAAACTTGATATAAGTATGTCCTTCTAATTCTTTATAGAGCATGATAAGGATGGACAATAGTCAATAGTCCAGGAAACGAAGCTAAAAAAATGGTAAAACCTCGCAATATTTTCGTCCAGCACCGATTTGTACAAAAATTTGGGATTAGGCTTATTTCACCCTCTACTTCATTTTGTATAATGAAAATGTGTGAAAACTAGCCCTTATTATCAAACATCTACTATATAAAAATAAGTCGGGTTTTCCTTCCTGACGCTATAACTCCAGAACGCACGTACCGATTTCCACGGTTTTGCATTCGTTGGAAAGGTCTCGGGCTCCGTGAGGTTTATAGCAAAGAAAATTCAGGAAAAATAAAAAAATAAAATCTTCTTTTAATCACCAAACGAAATGTTACATAAAACGAAGCCATCTGGTGGTGAAACGGAGTTCGCCGGGTTTGCTAGTTATAAAATAAAATAAAATACCTAAATATGGGTAATAATAGTTAAAAAATTATTGCTTCATGCTGTAGGATACAATTTCATAATCGTTCAACCTACCCTTGTTAAAAAGTACCCTTAAAAACATTGATTTTTTTTTGAGAAAAAAAATTGATTGGTTTTTTAAACATAGCTCCTTCATTTTAGGTAATAGCAATTTTTTTTCAGAAACGAATTTGTAGAGCTTTTCAGGAGCTATAAGACTATGTGAATTGAATTTCTTAAGATCCCTTAATTTTTAAATAGGGAGAATTTAAAGCGCTTGAATAAGGTGATGTTCGATCATAAATGTAGGTGTTAAACGGCTATATATTTCGCCGAATATTCACTGTACAAAAAAATATGCACACATGGAAATTTTTGTCATTAAAAAAGCTACAATTTAGTACTATATCGTTTTTTACTCCGCCTCCCCGGGCTACTACGGCCCATTCTCCGTGTCTATGAGCGGTACGTACTTGTCATGCAGATGCGCCGCGTCGTGCCTCACGCGTAGTAGTTTGAGGGCTCGCAACACTCCCAGCTCCGCCTTCCCGCGCTATTACGGCCCATTCTCTGTGTCTATGAGCGGTACGTACTTGTCATGCAGATGCGCCGCGTCGTGCCTCATGCGTAGTAGTTTGAGGGCTCGCAACACTCCCAGCTCCGCCTTCCCGCGCTACTACGGCCCATTCTCCGTGTCTATGAGCGGTACGTACTTGTCATGCAGATGCTCCGCGTCGTGCTTCACGCGTAGTAGTTTGAGGGCTCGCAACACTCCCAGCTCCGCCTTCCCACGCTACTACGGCCCATTCTCCATGTCTATGAGTGGTACATACTTGTCATGCAGATGCGCCGCGTCGTGCCTCACGCGTAGCAGTTTGAGGGTTCGCAACACTCCCAGCTTCGCCTTCCCACGCTACTACGGCCCATTCTCCATGTCTATGAGCGGTACATACTTGTCATGCAGATGCGCCGCGTCGTGCCTCACGCGTAGCAGTTTGAGGGCTCGCAACACTCCCAGCTCCGCCTTCCCACGCTACTACGGCCCATTCTCCATGTCTATGAGCGGTACATACTTGTCATGCAGATGCGCCGCGTCGTGCCTCACGCGTAGCAGTTTGAGGGCTCGCAACACTCCCAGCTCCGCCTTCCCACGCTACTACGGCCCATTCTCCATGTCTATGAGCGGTACATACTTGTCATGCAGATGCGCCGCGTCGTGCCTCACGCGTAGCAGTTTGAGGGCTCGCAACACTCCCAGCTCCGCCTTCCCACGCTACTACGGCCCATTCTCCATGTCTATGAGCGGTACATACTTGTCATGCAGATGCGCCGCGTCGTGCCTCACGCGTAGCAGTTTGAGGGCTCGCAACACTCCCAGCTCCGCCTTCCCGCGCTACTACGGCCCATTCTCCGTGTCTATGAGCGGTACATACTTGTCATGCAGATGCGCCGCGTCGTGCCTCACGCGTAGTAGTTTGAGGGCTCGCAACACTCCCAGCTCCGCCTTCCCGCGCTACTACGGTCCATTCTCCGTGTCTATGAGCGGTACACACTTGTCATGCAGATGCGCCGCGTCGTGCCTCACGCGTAGTAGTTTGAGGGCTCGCAACACTCCCAGCTCCGCGAGCCGCGCCTGTCTCGCGGCCGCGCCCGCCTCCCCGCGCCACACCAGGTTACCGGCTACGAACAACGCCGCCTCCTGCAGCTTACTCTCCGGGTGCGCCTACATATCACGCGCATACTATCAATATCCCAGATGTGCTCAGGGGCGTATTTAGTAAGTTACTCTTTTTTTTGTGTCTAGGAAATGCTTTATGCGTCCTTCAACCACCGGGGGAGCGAGAGGAAGGTATGTGGGACTCCTCTCTGCTCATTTCATCCAGCCCTCGGTCTCGATAAAATGTGCAGTGCCCTACCTACGCCCTGAACAGGGCCACTAAAAACCAGACAATACTCCTGCACCGGTCACCCGACACGCATCCCAAGGACCTCAGTCCTCCCAATGCGTGTCGAGAGTGCGGATGTAGTCGTGGCATCTGATTTTCAATTGGCCACGCATCAGCCGGTGGGTACGTAGTTACCCTAGAGCCAAAAGAGTCATGGCCTTATATTATAGTAATGAGGATTTTCGGATTTACTAGTGTGTGGCAGAATTATATAAGGGAGGCAACCTTGCTCCTTGAGAACTAATCCCACGATATCTAAGCCCTCTTATGTAAGGCCGGATATATAGGGCAGCAAAATTTTTTTCAACAATCAGCCATGACTTTTGTTGGGATCCAAATCGTCAGTCTTTTGAATAAGAGCTTCTGGATTAATGATTGATGGACGTAAGGAGTGTAAAAGTAATCGGGGCCAATAATGGAGTATTTGAAATTTATTGAAATAAATAACTGCGTTTTTTACTAGAGTTCATAAAAAGTTATGTTTATCATTATATTGCGTATTTCTGTAATGCCAGCACTTCACATGGCTGTTCGTATTTGCTATTTTTAAACTTGACAAGGGTCTCTCCTTTTTATTCACTATAGATTAAGGTGAGGACAACCTGTTCTCGAAATGACAAATATAGCAAAGACGAACACCCATGTGAAGTGCCAGCATAAAAGAATCTTTTTACAATTATGTCCCAAAATCAATTACCACATAACAGTTGATAGAGATTCAGTACACACATGTAAGTTATAAACTATGTCACACAGGCAAACATGATGTCAAGAGTAAAGCATGTGCAAGCAATGTGCATTTACTAAAATAATAAAAAAGTTAAACTTTTAAAATTGATTGATAAATAAGTCCTACCTCAGCTGGGATCGAACCCGTGCTATTTATAATTTCGTCTATAGCAGGCGAGCTTCCTACCTCTGAACCACCGATGCCTGGTAATTATGTCTGAACGGTTTTAAATCAATTGAAAAGGTAAATCCATGCTTTAGATGAATGAAAAAATTTATGGCGAAGTAATAAAATTTTCATTTCAATAAAGGTTTGCTTACCAGGTAATCGACCAATTTTCGCAGCACGTCTTCGTTTGCCATGATGAGGTCCTTCGCCTTCTCCCCGTCGCCGATGTTGCCGAGAATACATAACGCTTGTTCCTTCACTTCAGCCGGATACGACCCCTCTAATACTACTATCACAGCCTGATAAACAGAGAAACACAATTTATTACTAAGAACCAGGGTTATTACGGATTTCCGCATCCGAAAATGCAGAATATTCGCACTAATTCGATCATTTCAGACATCTTCATCCGCATTAATTAATGTGGAGCTTTTATGGATACGTTCTCATATAAAGAAGTAACCACATACAAAGAAGGTGGGCGGAGCCACAGAGAGTACTTTCAATGAAAATATGTAAGAGTAAAACTGTTTATGGCTGCGTTGTTTCATCGATAATAAATTTTACTTTAGCTAATGCCACGTCAAATACATAGTAATTGAGTAAAATTTTTACAACTGGTTATTTTTTTCGATAGGTTTTAACTATTGTCAAATTGAACTATCGATGAAACAACGCGGCCTTAGTTCTGTTTTTACAATTAATATGATTAAATGAAACATTAAAATTAAAACCATTGTTATTGTGCGTTTTTTATGAATTTAAAATTGAAACATCTTTATAATATCCTGAAATTCGATTTCGACACCCTCCAATAATCCGTATCCACACCCGCAGCTGTCAAAATGTTTGCATCCGTAATAACTCTGATAAGAACATTTTTTTTTCTTTTGGATCATTTAATCATTACATACACACATCAAAAGTGTCTAGGGATCAACATATATTTTTGCAATAACTTTTCTCCTGATTGATATTAATTAAAATTTTCTTTAAGGATTCATCAAATAAAGTGTTTTCGTTTGTCACAGTAACGATAAACCAAGTCACCTTTGCATTAATAAAGAAATTTGCCATTTTCCTAATAAAGGGATTTTTGACATTTGAACCACTAACACAAAAGTTCGAAAAAAAGACTGAAATAACAGTTTTCTCTAAAATTTTATTGGGTAACTTAAACAATTAATAATCTGTATTTCTACCGCGAACACTAACAACACAAGAACATCGGTTTGGCATACTCAAAATGAGTTCATCCAAATCACGCTGTGGAATGGCCGCCCATGTTCGTTGCAACAACAAAAAAAGGTCTTCTTGCGACTGGATACCCTCCATATTCGGCAGAGCTCTTCTCTGTAGCATATCCCATGCATGCTCAATCGGGTTCAAGTCTGGCGACTGAGCAGGCCAGGGCAGGACATTGATGTTAGCTGCGGCGAGAGTCTGTCTTACAACTCTTGCGGTGTGCGGTCGTGCATTATCATGCATTAACTGAAATAAGGGACCGATTTGCACTTGTAGAGGAACGATGACGTCTGATACAATCGTCTCAGCATAAATTTGAGCGTTGAGGTTGCCTCTGATCCAAATCAACTCAGTTCTTCCGCCGATCCAAATACCCGCCCATACCATGATGGTTGCACCACTATAAGGATGGACTTCCTGGCAGGATTTTAATCGCTGTTGGCGTCCAGGGGTTCTCCAGTGTCGTATACGTCTTGTATCCGGTCTCATACCAAAACGAGACTCATCAGAAAAGCACACGAAACGCCATTGTTCTTCTGCCCAATTTCTGTGTTCAAGAGCCCATTGATATCGAATCCTACGATTGTGCATTGCTATAGGTGGTACCCGTAGCGGTCTTCGGGAATGAAGGTTCACTTCATGCAAGCGGTTTCTGACTGTTTGGTCGCTAATTAAGTTCCCTGAAGAGTGATGAAGCCTCACGGCTAACATCATGGCGGTTATTGTTGGAGCTCTTCGAGTTAAGATTTGAATGTATCGGTCTTGTCTCCGTGTGGTGCAGCGATACCGTCCTCCATGGCGCTCAGCCACGGTACCAGTGCTTCGGTATCGTGTCCAAAGTCGACTGATAACACTCTGACTTGTATTCAGAGCTAAAGCCACAGTACGTTGCCGGGAACCAGCTTCTATCATTCCCACGGCTCTGAGCATTTCTTCCCTGCTTAAATGACGTCGCCGCTCCATAATAACGTTGGTTTTAATCAGTAGTAGGCAAACAGTAGCACTAATAATGTCTTCAATGCGTTGTATGTTTTTATAGGGAAAATATTGACAGCTGATTTTCATCTTTTACTCGAATTTGATTCACAGTTCCTGATTCAAATTATGAAATGCACCAAAAAGGATCCATATAAATTTATAAAATCATAAATTTATTACAAAGCCACATCTCAATCTCAAGAAATCCGCATAAAAATGCTTGATCCCTAGACACTTTTGATGTGTGTAATATGCAAACCACAATGGCCAATCGTAATAAAATATGTTTCACATTGTAATGTCAGTTGGCAAATCGTTGTTCGACTTACACTAGTGATGGGGTATAACGCAATTGATATATTAGTCTGATGTTATGTTGTAGATTTCTTTTCCGTTCAATATTTAATATACTTATTTTTAGCAGAGACAAATTATTTTATTCAACAGTCTCATTTATTAATAATGACAAACATATTTATGTTAAATTTGTGGCAAAAAAGCAAATGCCGAACGATAAACAGCCACTATAGATCACAAATAACATGTCAGCGTCTTCATGATGACGCCCGTGTCGCTATAAGATAATAACATCTCACCTACATCAGATCGATCCTCGTGAACAGCAGGTCCCTGAGCAAGCCCAGAGTGTCATGTCATGATGACTCCCGTGTCGCTGTAAGATAATAGCCTCTCTCCTGCATCATTTGAGAGGAGTACTCGCTCATGATGGCGTCGATGTGCTGCCTAGAGGACAGCAGGTCCCTGAGCAAGCCCAGTGTCATGTCATGATGACGCCCGTGTCGCTTTAAGATAATAACAGCTCACCTACATCAATTGAGAGGAGTACTCGCTTATGATGGCGTCGATGTGCTGCCTAGAGGACAGCAGTTCACTGAACAAGCCCAGAGTGACATGTCATGATGACGCCCGTTTCGCTGTAAGATAATAACATCTCACCTTCATACTTGAGCGGAGTACTTGCTCATGACGGCGTCGATGTGCTGCCTCGAAGACAGCAAGTTTTTTAGTCAGCTTAGAGTGTTCATGATGACGCCCGTGTCGCTGTAAGATAATAACATCTCACCTGCATCACTTGAGAGGAGTACTCGCTCATGATGGCGTCTATGTGCTGCCTCGTGGACAGCAAGTTTCTGAGCAAACCTAGTGTCTTCATGATGACGCCCGTGTCGCTGTCGCCGAGCAAGCGGAACATTTGTTCCGTGCCAAGACAACACAGGATACGTTGCTTCACCTTCTGTTCCGCCTGGTTGGAGGTAAGTATTTTTATTTACATACCTAAAATGGTGGCGGTTGTTGTAAATGAAGAAGATGGAACATTTACAGCAACCACCGCAATCAGCAGTACTGATTCTAGAATGATTCTCTAAACCTTATAGCTTGACCGATATAAAGCCGGCCCTCCCATGGTCTGCAGTACGCGGGAGAAGGATGCAGTCCAAGATCCCAGAGCCCCCAGAACTACGTCATGTTAGTAAAGCTGAAATTTTGAGGATTTCTAGTTTACTATGTAGTTAAGACAGTATACGTACTTACTAGCTCTAAGGGGGGCCCTCACCTACGTTAAAGTATGAAACGCTCATATTTAAATATGTTTTTAAGAACATTATAATATCAGGGGCGGTGGATGGTCAAACAAGAAATCACATAACTTTAATTTATACCTTGCTTGATGATCACCTACTCCCAGTATCTGTCCGATACTGGGTTTGGCGAACGGGTTAGGGAGTAGCGCAAGTCGCAAGGATCCCCTAATCAAGGCCAGAGGACTATCCTTCACGAGGTTGCCGCCCGTTTTTGGTCAAATACCTTCTGTAATTGACGTAACAGAAACCTCTGGCCGGACCTCAAATCCCGCATAGCCGAACCGTGGCGGCGCATATCCACACCCGGGCCCACAGGGCCTAGGGGAACTGAATACCCCCTAAAAGATTGTACCGCACACCCTTGGGCAGGAGTCGTGTGCGTTATTTGGCACTTCCCGCCAAAGCCCCAAAAACAATATGAGTGCTGCGAAAAGAGAAACAGTACCCCAGGAGGGTATCGCGAATAGCGAAGAATCCCTCACCAAGCCAAGCTTGGTCTGTCCCGCGTATTCTGGGGGGGACAAACAGCGCTCAGGGAAGGGTGCAAGCCTGGACCTGTCCGGCCTAGCTGAGGCCATAACTACAGCCACACAACTGACACAACAGACACAAGCAACTACACAGTGGTCTGTGGTCGCCCATAAGCGCCCCTGCAAAAGGGAGTCTGCTAATGTGGCAGCCACCCACAATCACACACACAAAGGCTCGCAGGGCCAAACGGAATGTCGCCCCAACCGGCGTGCGAGAAGGGAAGCCCTGCAGTCCACCACAAACATGAACACCCAAACAAAGTCGGCCACCGCAGCTGTGGAAACACAGTGCGAGCCTGTAGAAATACAGAGGGCCGGCCAACCAAACACTCACAAAACTAAACAGCCACGACGGAGACCGAAACCGAGGGATTTTCGTGCTCGGCGGATCGCTGCGAAGGCTCCCACTGCTCCTGAAAAGGAGCAGCCTGGGGTTGGGGGTTGTTCGGACGAGGCAGCTTCTGTGAAGCGGCCACGCCTGGATGACACACAATCTCCAAGGGGGGATGCCAAGCGCGTGAAAACCGACGCGAGAACGAAGCGGACGGTGAGCTACGCAGATGCGAGTAAATCGCATCTGAGAGTAGCGGTCACCACCGTTCCGCCGAGAGACCTCTCGGCCGAGCAGGCGGAGCACCTGAGGGAGACCATCGATGATGGCATCGTACAGGCTGCTCTGACTCCACAGTCTCCGGATGCGCAAGCCCCAGCTTTCCGCGGGCGTCCCTTCCTAGTGGACGGGGTGCTAGCGATGTGGTGTGAGGATGAAAACGCGCTAAAGTGGCTCGAACAAATGGTGAAAACCATACAGTCACCCATCCAAAACACGACGTTAACGGTCATCAAGCTGTCGGATGTGAAGAAGAAGCTCAGAGCTGGGCTTCTTCTTCATACCCGAATCACCGAGTCTGCCACACTGCAGCGACTCCTTTGTGCCCAGAACCCTTGGTACAAGGCTGACTCCTGGCAGTGCTACGATATGACCGTCGACGACAAGCCGGAGAGTAATTCCAAGGAGAAGGTAGTCCACCTAATCCTAGGAATTCCCGAGGACCAGAAGCAAACGATACTCGATAGAGAACGCCGTGTTGCACACATAAGTGGCAGCGGATACATCCGCTTTTTCGCGCCAGACGATGCACCACCGGCGGATCTGACAGTAGAGAAACCAAGTGCGACTACAGAGCAGGAAGGCACTGTGGTTCCAGTACCAAGCACCTCAGCTCCCCAACCGGGTCCGAGCGAGATGGAACTGGGAGCAAGCCTAAGCTCGGAGGACTGCATCAGCGATGAAGATGGCGTCCTACGTAGTCCCTAGTCGTATTCAAATCATACAGACCAATCTCCAGCACAAACAAATAGCGGCGGCCACTCTACGCAGGGTGCTGGAGACGAACAACAAGACCGTCGCCCTGATCCAAGAACCCTGGATCAGAAACAATAGGATCTGCGGTCTGAACAACATCGGTGGTAAGTTACACTTAAACACATCTATCGAAAAACCAAGGACATGCATTTTCGTACCTAAGTCCGTAAAAACAACCATGCTTAACCAATTCTGTTCTAGAGACCTCACAGCTGACGATCCTCACAGATAATCAAACAGTCCTGGTACTAACTTCAGTCTACATGCCGAACGAGGGTGAAATACCTACGAGGGAGCTGACTGAGCTGGTACAACACTGCGAGAACCACAAATGGGAGCTGATCGTAGCGGCTGACTGCAACGCACATCACTCACTGTGGGGAAGTAAGGATACAAACAAGAGGGGTGAGTTGTTAACAGAATACTTATTCCAAACTAACCTTAACATCATGAACATTGGCACGGAGCCCACATTTGTCAGCTCCAGGTATCAAACCATCATAGACATAACCCTAGCGACACACGCGGCGGCCAATCTAATCGAAGGATGGCACGTGTCAAACGAACCCTCCTTTGCAGACCACCGTAGGGTATGTTTCCAACTAAAATACAGACAGACAGACCCTGTTCCATATCGCAACCCCCGAAAAACAGATATAGCAAGGTACATAGAACTCTCGACCAAAGCATTAAGCGAGACACAAACACACGATGAAATTCTTGACACAAACAACTATAGAAACAAACGTACAGTTCTACACTTCAGCACTTCTTAAAAGCTACGAACTGACGTGCCCTACCATCGTACCGAAAGACCTGGGTAAAAGTTCCTGGTGGGGGCCTGAACTTGAAAAACTACGTAAGGAACTCAGGACACTTTTCAATCGAGCGAAAAACACCAGAACCAATGAGGACTGGGACAAATACAAAATAGCACAAAAACACTACAAGAAGCGAATCAGATTCCGGAGTAGAGAAGGTTGGCGCGGATTCTGCAGTAGTGTTAATTCAACAAATCAAGCTGCCAGACTTAAGAAGGTTCTGTCCAAGGACAACTCCAACCTTCTTGGGTCTCTAAAAAGGAAAGATGGCACTTATACACAAACAGAAGAAGAAGCAAATGCGCTGCTTCTGGAAATCCACTTCCCAGGATGTCAAATGGCGCCTGGCCTTGAGTGGTCGAATGAGCACCACAATGCACCAACAACCCAGGAATGGAACCTGGCAAAAACGATAGTAACGGAGGAAAGGATAGAATGGGCTATAAAAAGCTTACAACCATTTAAGTCGGCAGGACTGGATGGCATCTTTCCGGCGCTACTACAATGGCAACTTGGCCAGGCAATTAAATACTTACAACCAATCTTTAAGGCCTGCTTGGCCTTCAAATATATACCGAAACCATGGAGGGAGGCAAAAGTAGTCTTCTTACCGAAACCGGGCAAAGACGATTACACACAAGCCAAATCCTTCAGACCAATTAGTCTAACCTCGTTCCTTTTGAAAACATTGGAAAGACTGGTAGACCGACACCTTAGGGATGGAGCACTTAGTAAGGTCCCGCTGCACCCTCAACAACACGCCTATAGAAAAGGCAGATCAACAGAGTCGGCACTGCATGCGGTGGTCCATAAAATAGAGTCGGCAATCACAAACAAAATGTCAACATTGGCAGCTTTCATAGACATAGAAGGTGCTTTTGACAAAACGATGCACAACAGCATTAACCACGCCCTAAGAAAACTCAAGGTGGACCAAGTTACCAGGAGTTGGATCACCGAACTGGTCGGCAAAAGGGCGGTTCAGATAGTGGGGAATACTTCCACGCGTGCGAAGGTAGTAAGAGGATGTCCTCAAGGGGGAGTCCTATCACCACTTCTCTGGAACATAGTAGTAGACAGCCTCCTAAGGAATCTGAATGATAGAGGATACACTACTATTGGTTATGCGGATGACCTAACAATTCTGATAAATGGGAACGCTGAAAACGTCCTGTGCAAAGTTATGCGTTCTGCCCTTCAGATAGTGGAAAAATGGTGTGACGAACATGATTTGTCAGTAAATCCGAATAAAACAGAGCTTGTCCTTTTCACCAACAAAAGGAAGCGGCCCGAACTACAGTTACCAAAACTGTTTAATACCAAACTCTCCCTATCAACACAAGTGAAATATCTGGGCGTAATCCTTGATAACAAATTGAACTGGGCGAGTCATATTGAATTTAAAACAAAGAAGGCCTGCATAGCTTTTAACCAGTGTAGAAGATTAGTTGGTAAGAAATGGGGTCTTAGTCCAAAGATCACTCTTTGGCTATACACAGCAGTTATCAGGCCAGCAATAACCTACGGTTCAGTTGTTTGGTGGCCCAGAACCCAACTGACCACAGTGAAATCTAAACTCCAAAGTCTGCAGCGCTTGGCGAGCGTAGCAGCAACTGGATGCATGAGAACAACTCCATCTGCTGCATTAGAATACCTCTTGAACTTAAGACCTCTAGACCTGGTCATACAAGAAGAGGCAATAGCAGCAGCCTTGAGACTAAGATCTTTGGGCCTATGGAGATCAAACACTGTAACAACACACTCCAATGTTCTCCAAAGGTGCATGAAGGAGATTCCACTCCTGGAGGCACCTATGGATAGAATATTGGATCAACACGTCTTTGATCGAAGATACAACATCCAACTTACCGCGGAAAAGGTAGACTACTCTGGCGCCGGGGAAGTTAGGATATACACAGATGGCTCCAAAACCAACATTGGTACTGGAGCCGGTGTCTTCTCGAACGACCTAAATATAAAAATATTCACAACCTTAGACAAACTAAGCACAATCTTCCAGGCGGAATGTATTGGCATTACCAGAGCGGCACAGGCGGTTGCAGCCAGAGACATCAGAGAGTTCAACATTAAGATCATCTCTGACAGTGCATCCGTGCTTCAAGCCCTAAGTAGCAACACAATAAACTCTGTCCTGGTAATGGAGTGCCACAGTGCACTTCAATCCATTGCGGTAACCAATACGGTAACTCTGCAATGGATAAAAGGACACAGCAACTCAATCGGAAACGACGCAGCAGACGAATTGGCTAAGAGAGGAGCAGACACAAAAGTGTATGGTCCGGAACCTCTTCTGCCTATACCTCAGGCCCAAATTAAGACGTGGCTGCGTGAAAGAACTCAGAAACTACACTTGACTGAGTGGAAAACAGGTGAAGGATGCCGGCAAACGAAAAACGCAGTTCCGGAGGCGAACAAGAGACTTGCCCGCACCCTTACCAGACTTAATAGGGACAAACTCCGCATAGTCATGGGAACCCTGACTGGTCATTGTCCCCTGAACAAGCACCTATACACATTAGGAGTGACAGACAGCCCCCTATGCAGAGGATGTATGGAGGCAGAGGAAACGCCACAACATGTCATTATGGAATGCAGGAGTGTGGCCGACCAACGGGCACGACTTCTCCAGTCACCCGCATCGCTTCCGGAAGCTTGCAGCAGTCTGTCAAGACTGCTTTCCTTCTGGACTAACCTAGGCTGGCTGGAGTAAACGGGAATGTTTCAAGACACGCACAATGGTCCAATGATTAGGACTAAGTGCGGAAACCGCCCTGAAAAACTAAACTAAACTAAGAACATTATCAAAAAAAAATTGCCAGACCATTTCCGTGGGCCATTACTTCCGCCAGACATTTTAAAGATTATTTCAAAATTAGGTAAACTACGTTATACTATAATAAAAAGCTAAGAAGTCAAGCAAAGACAAGTTAAGGAAATATGCGAATCACCAGAATCAGGGCTACTATTATCGGTGATGTTACTTAGATATTATCACATCATCATCACCAGCCTTTTAATTTCCACCACTGCTAGGGCACAGGCCATCCCTTTGGATGGAAAAGGAAGATTGGGCTATGACCCACCACGCGCGGATTCCCACGGCCCAGTGCAGATTGATGGGTGCTAACGACTGCAGGTGCAGCCGGAACCAACACCTTAACGTGCCTTCTAAAGCAGAGGAGCTCCAGCTAAGTTTACGGTCACCCATCCAATGATCGACCACTGCAAAATTTGCTTAACTTCCATGATCGCAGGCCGAACGCGCTACCCACTTTCGCCATCGAGCTCCTAATTGCCAGATAATTCAAGAAACAGTTAATATTAGATATATAGCAAAATACAAGACTCACCTGAAAGGCCATATTCATAAGAGCCCAAATGCCATTGAGTCTTAACGCCGCTTCGGGCCTTTTCGTTAAATTGCACAACATTTCAACAGCTCCTAAAAGATAATACGGCGTTATACAAATCTGGTTTACTTAAATTTCAAGTAGATTAATTGTTATGTTATGTTATTGTTTACATCAAAAGACGTTAGAGGAACTAAAAGCCGTGCTCGGAAACGTCAAAAAATTTAATGAAACCTGTCTTTTATCTGGATCCAGTGACATTGATTCTAGTAAAAAAAATCTATAGATTTAAGATATATAGGTACATTTTATAGTATATTTATCCGCTGGAATTGGAGCGCCCATCTGGGGAAGTGCTCTCCACCTTAAGGAAGACAGTAAAATAACACTACCTTTTGGTAGAGTTGTGTTTCTATCGTTGAGTAAGATTAGGCATGTCGATTCACTTTAAAAAATATTGATCTCCGATTCGATTCAAATCGAACATACTAGAATCTATTCTTGTTTAAATCGAGCATTAAATAATCGATTTTTCGATTAATCGATTTCATATCGACATGCCTAAGTGAGATTCCAGAGCTCCGCGGGGTAGGGTATTGGGTCAGGGTAAGCAACGGTGCGAGTGATATTTTTGTATCGCAAGCGTCTATAGGGTATGGTGGTCGCTTACCATCAGGTGGGTCATATGCTTGTTTACAACCCTTTTAACATGAAAAATATTTATAAATTTAATCATTCTTTAAGTCACGTATCACCTTATTCTCTTGTTATAGCAAACAAAGCGACAGCATCAACTTTAAGGTGATCGCACATATATCCGCCATACACCATACACCATACGCGCCGCATTTCCATATAGACTCTACGAAATGCGGCTCGTACGCTGCTGATGGAAGTGTGCGAGGTTTCATATCGCGAGTCTCATGCGTACAACAACATATTTCACTATTCCGTTCATCTTCCCTATACCCATAAACATACAAATTATCATATTTTATATAACGTAGTTTTTGGACCGAAGTAGGAGGTGGAGGAACCCCGAATCGGTCACAGCGCGTAAAAAGGAACTTTCGGCAGATCAATTGTCACTTTTAACATGCACGGATACGTAAAATTTACGTACCCGTGCATGTTAGGTAAAAATAAATAAAAATTCGTCACGAAACCTGCTGCGTACCTAGTTAACTGCAAGAACAATGGCAAAATACAGTGACCACAATTTCTAAAAAATGCCACATGCAAGTTAGAAACGATTTAACGAATGAAATGGATTATCTCCATTTTTGACGACCTCCGTGTCCGCGTGGTTTATACGCCGGGTTTCAAGGTATCGCAAACTCGAGAGGTCCCGGGTTCGAGTCCCGGTGGGATGTTTTTGTGATGAATACGAGCATTTGTACTCCAGTCATGGATGTTTAATATGTATTTCTATATAAATTTACTTATATATGTATTAGTATAAGTATTCTATCCGTTATGGGATACTAGGTCCCATAACACAAGCCTTACTTTGGGGCTAGGCTAATTGGTGTGTGTTGGAAATATTTATTATTATTTATTTATTATCTGCTGGAAAAAGTAAACTAAGTAATTTACTTATTAGAAACACTTGAAGTGGTGGTTTTTTGTATTTTTAGCAAGTTACAATGCTTTTACATTGTTATTTTCATATACACTTCTGGACACATCTATTGGCCCACCTTAGAGTTTAGGTTTCGATGGCCCCTATCAAAATATGATTGCTAGATTGAACAAAAACTGTTGATGCAGTTTTAATCCTGATACATTGTACCATCTTTTTCGATCATATTGTTTTAAATTTGAATTCAGAATACCATACGACATGGGGCTACGCCTAACAAGTCGGATATGCGCCTTGTTAACGGCAATTGATTTTTGAAAAAAAACATGTTTTATCAAATAAAGGTTTAATTTAATAACGCGTGTTGCCTCCATGGGCATCTACCACAGCTCTCATACGATTAGACATAGAGTTTATCAACCGCTCTATGAAATTTTGAGGGATCATCTCCCATTCCTCTTCTATGGCAGTTTTCAACTCCTGCATCGTCTGGGCAACTGGCTGACGAGCCCTAACACGTCTTTTTAGCTCGTCCCACATGTGCTCAATGGGGTTCATGTCTGGGCTTCTGGCTGGCCAGTCACTAACTGTGATGTTCACAATCCCGAAGATATTCCCTGACGATGCCGGCCGCATGGGCTCTTGCATTATCATGCATAAGAAGGATATTTGGGCCCACATAGTCCGCGTATGGTATCACGTGAGGTTCTAAGCACTCACGAATGTACCTTTCAGCATTTAATGTTGGCAGCCGTGGTCCTGTAACAACCTTAAGTTGAGTTTTGCCGCTCGCGGATATACCGCCCCAGACAGTCCATGAGCCACCGCCATAAGCAACCCTCTCTTCAAAGCAGCATTGTGCGAAACGCTCTCCCTTACGTCGGTAGACCTTCTTCCTTCCATCATTGCCATGTAACACAATTTTAGACTCATCAGAAAAGAGTACACGGCTCCAATCTTGCTGTGTCCAATTTAAATGACTGCGTGCGAAATGAAGGCGCGCTGTTCGGTGGGCTCGCGTTAGTTTGGGCCCATTAGCTGGCTTGTGTGGTACCATATCGCGTTCTTTTAACCTTCTCCGAACAGTTCGAGCGCTCACAGATACTCCGTGGAAGTCGCGAATTTGTTTTTGTATCTCAATGGAGGTAAGGTGACGATTTCTCAAGCTGGTCGTCACGATGAATCGATCCTGCCTTTCAGTTGTGACCCGAGATCGTGGCCTTCCTTGGCGACGAACAAAGCCGCCAGTCTCTAGGTACCTCCGATAAACATTTTGGACCGCAGGTTGAGCACTCACGTTTCTTTGGCTGTGTTCGTCCTGAAGAAGTGCCACAGCTTGGGCGGCGACTTCAGGTGAAGTATCCATAGATTATTGATAGAACCTCACCTTAATGTTAAGAATAAGTAATGTTTGTTGCAAAACCAAAGATATCAATCACTTTTTCAAGAATTAAATCCAAGTAAACCAATAAAACCAAGTTTTCTTAGTATTCGATTGTTTGATATCAACAAACAGGCTCCAAATTGTCTTTTGTTTCTTTAAATTCTGTGTTCGAAATTCAAAAAAAGACTATTGAATGAAATTGTGAATGTGCCAGGTTCAAAACTGCATAAAAACTTTTTGCTCGACCTAATATAAAATTTTAGCTAGGACCAAACGAAACTGAAAATACAAGGTGGGCCAATAGATGTGTCCAGAAGTGTATTATTGTCATTTTACATGTTGAGTCAAAACTATTGTTTTTCCCTTTTATTGTCGTTTGTGATTGGAAAGCGATGTCGAGGGCATTTGCCCGGAATCCAATTTTTATTATTAATTTAGCCATGTTTAACTGAAAATACACAATAAGTTTGCATTATTAATGACACTACAGTCATAAATGATCATCTACAGTATACATGAAATGTATTACATGCAGTCCTCGACTTTCGTCGTTTCGATTTACGTCGTTTCAAGTTACGTCGTATAATGTTTTGACACTATTCCTCAAGCATACGTCAATTGTTTCGATTTCCGGCATAGGAAAATTCACTTGTCGCGAAGTCAATGTCCGTGGGGATGTAACGACTTACGTCGTTTCGATTTACGTCGCGTATTCGAGAACCTAACATGCCGTAAGTACGAGGACTGCCTGTACTCCATAAAATTTGTGAATTTGTTACTCTTCTCGTGAAATCAGCCATTAGTAATTCCTATCGGAAATTTATTTATTGTGGCATTTTAGACGGCAAATACAAAAAGTTAAATTTACTATCGACACTATAAATTTACATGATCGAATAGAATTCATGTAAATTACGATATTTCATTTGTCATATTATGTTTACATAATCTTCGTAATGACAGCCAGCCATTTGACATTAAAATGCCGGCGTAATTTCAACCACTTATTGGCGCCGTCATCGCGCACCCAACGAATAGCGCTAATAAAAATAACGGGAAATAGACCCGTACAACGAATTCCAAATGCAGCGCATGCGGCGCGTACGGTGCTGACATATGAGCGATCACCTTTAGGCAAACTTAAAAATTAAATAACGTATTTGAATTTAGGCGTATGCGTTTTAAGATGTTATAAGTGTGATGAAAATAATTAAAAGCTTTCTATAATGAAAAAAATATATAAACATGTAATTTTAAGTCGTGCTAAATCAATATAATAATTCAAGTGGAATTGCCAATCAGGTAGTATGAATTGGTATTTGGTATTGTGTTGTGTACGGCAAACCTTGATCTAACATTGGTTCTTTGGCCGGTGAGAACTCAAGCAGCAGGTTGCAGAGCGTTGAGGAGCCGACGGTCAGCAGTTCAGTACCCGGCGAATCACTCAGTAACTGCATCAGGGGACGCCATACTGCGTGGTCCTGACCAATAAATATTTCTTCATTAACAAACTTAGTCTATTCACGCCGTGTCATGGGCAACGAATAAGAAATAATATAGAATACGAACTGCGCTAAAAAGTGCACGCAAACTGCGATCAAATGGGATTTCCGTTTAACATTATCATACCCAAAGAATGGATAGCCTAATTCATTTGCAAGGTATTTGATTTGTCAGTGTTCTTTGTTTTGTCTGTGTGCGACCTCTATCTAAACCGGTGAACTTTAAGCATAAAAATAAAGTATAAAATAATTCCTAACATATGTCAAGAATTATAACATCAAAACATATCAACAAAAAACTAAAAATTCAATGAATCAATGCATTTCATTAACAGTATATTTACCTGAAACGTCGTGCGCAGCTGTTGCACTGATCGGGATAGTGAATGCAAACATCTGACTGCCGCTAATCGTACCTGCCAAAGAAATATATCAAACTGATCATTACATAAACATAGCCATTATCATCACAAGCCTATTAATGTCCCCACTGCAAGGGCATAGGCCTTCCCTATGGATGGAACAGGGAGATTTGCACATAACCCACCACGCGGACCCAGTGCGAATTGGTGGGTGCTAACGACTGCAGTGCAGTCGGAACCAACGGTTTAACATACCTTCCAGAGCAAGGAAGAGGTCGAGATAATAAGTTTTTGGTCACCCATCCAATGAGCGTCCATTGCGATAGTTCAATAACTTTCGCGATTCTATTCTCATAAGTTGTGGTCCGTAATACGGAAATTTTGTCAAATGGCCCTTCGTTACTATAAGGTTAATAACCACTGATTTTAATAAAATAGTATTTTAGATGTTTTAGTTTCTTAAGTTTTTACGCACATCACTCGTTAAATGAAACACGCTTAAACATGTGGGTCAAAATACGTCTTTTTATTACTTTTTTGACGTTCCGCATCCTTTTCAAACTGCGTTGTCGTCTCTATGATCCTCTTCCTGATGTCTTCGTCAATAGCCTTGAGAGAAGCGAAGCATTTAAAGCCGCTTTGCTTCACCGCTGCGGAGGGACAGTTCACCATTTTCGCAGAAGAACTCATCAGGTAAAAACCGTACTTCGCGTCGACGATGAGTACTCACCAAAGGTGCCGGATTGTTCATACCGTTCACAATAAGTCCGTGGGTCTCTATGATCCTCTTCCTGATGTCTTCGTCGTTAGCCCCGAGAGAAGCGAAGCATTTAAAGGCGCCTTGTTTCGCCGCTGCGAGGGACAGTTCACTATGTTCTCCGAAGAACTTATCAGGTAAAAAACAGTACTTCGCGTCAACGTTGAGTACTCACCGAAGGTTCCGGATTATTCATTCCGTTCACTACATGCACCATGAGTCCGTGGGTCTCTATAATCCTTTTCCTGATATCTTCATCGTTAGCCCCGAGAGAAGCGAAGCATTTAAAGGCGCCTTGTTTCGCCGCTGCCGAGGGACAGTTTACTATGTCCGCCAAAGAACTCATCAGGTGGTTCGATATTGCCGCTAGCCTTTGAAGTGACGTGTCAACCTAACGGAAATAAGATATTCTACTTATTCCAATTTATTTTACTCGACCTTATCATTATTATGTCGATTGTCAAGTATGTGTAAGAGTAGGCCTGACAAAAATACTGTTTTTGTAGTTCAAATAAGCATTAACGCAATAAGTTAATTTACTTAATATTTTCTTTCTTTGTAAATGATTTGAAGATTTTAATAGGAGTGAAATGCAAAGCATACCTATTTAATTATCCAAAAGGTTCTTTTAATAAAACACTTAAATCTATACTAATATTATAAAGAGGAAAGTTTTCATTATGTTTGTATTGAATAGGCTCGGAAACTACTGGACCGATTTGAAATATTCTTTCACGTTTAGAATCCTACATTATCCCTGATGAACATAGGCTGTAGAGTATTTTCAAAGAAGTTAGGGTTCAAGTTAAGCCAAACTTAAAAAATGGGCGTATGCTGTCGGGGACTTTTTTATAGAACTTTTAAAAGGATTATTCCACCATACATATTTTTTTTTGTACCTTGAATAATTTACGCACGCAACGGAACCTCAGAAATGATTTTTTTTATCCGTTTTTGCAACATTTCACATCGATACTCCGCTCCTACTGGTCGCAGTGTGATATTATATAGCTTCAAACCGTTCTCAATAAATGCACTATCTAACACAGAAAGATTTTTTCAAATCGGACCATTAAGTTCCTAAGATTTGCGCGTTCAACCAAAAAAATGGTGCATTCGGTACAACGCGAACGGGTCATAAAGTACGCAACAAATTTTTCACTATTCATGGAAGGTTCATAGTAGGGTATTTGACAAGTTTTAGAAATCGATCTCACGTTATTGACTAATGTTTATGGAGTCCGTAAAAAGTGGATATTCATCATTCTGTTGTGTATTTCAGTAAAAATAACCAAATTCAAAACTCCATTTTCAAGTTGCCGCGAAAACGTTTTTCTGGACAATATGGCGTCTTACTAGTGTGTGACGTCACACGACTGTTATTAAAACGTCAAGCGATACAATGTAATGTCACTTTAACCGGAAGTTTACTTGCGTGTGACGTCATTTTAGGCTCCGCCAATAAGAAAACTATTACCTTTTTCGTGGGTTTTTAGTAAAATTATGAATATTTTTTTTGTAAAAATAGTATAAACCTCTGCCAATATTCATTCTATACACAGATGCTTATAATTGACACTTTATTTTTAATACTGTCAAATAACCTATTATATAAAGAAAGTCTACCTACTCTACAGCTATACACCAAAGCGAAGCGAGGGCGGGCCACTAGTCTGTTATAAAACTGAATAAGTAACCAATGATATTATATACCCTAGATACAACATCACGAACAAAATCGTGGCTGAAACCTGTACGACTTGTTGCTATAGGCGGAAGAATTAAGTGTAGACTTTATTTCTTTGACTCTACATGCAATTCTAAATGCGTTGTTAACAATGTAGCAGGTGCGGACCGCGAAAAAAAGAGATGGCTATATAACCGACCATGCATTTGAATATCACAAATATTTTCTATTAAATCAGTTCATAGACATAATAAGTATTAGAACAAAATTTGCTTCAAACGTGTTAAATTAACAAAACAATACGTACGTACTATAATTTTCTTTTTCACGGATTGCTGTGGCATCTTCACTTTTCAACGGTACGAATGTGAACCAAGAAGTGCTCGAGTTCAAGCACTTCTTGATTGAAAAACATTTTGAGCGCACGTAGTGTATCTAGGGTATTTAATATCGTTGTAAGTAACTCATATTATTTCTAATTTATGAAATCAAAACATTCATAATGAAAAAGATACCTATTCTGAAACAACCAAAATTAGGACTCGATCTAAACACAGAACGCTGCGAATGGTAAATAATGAAAGTGTGGTTGTGGTAGAGGCAGCATGCTATCTCAGTCGCACTTTTAAAAATTACATAATATTTCTCTACTTAACTTCTCTTAACCTCTCTCTCTTTCTCATTTTTTGTCTGTCTCTCTCTGGCTCTTTCTATTTTAAAGGCATTACTTACCTCTGCTAAATACGCTAACGTCTCGGCAGCAGATGCCCGGATTTCTTCTGGAATTTCCTTTGTACATAGTCGCGCTAGACATGGTAAGGCCCCGAATACCACTCTGTAACAAGTAGTATTTAAATATAAACCCGGCAAACTTCTTGAGCAACGACTATAGACAAGGAAGCATGCGCAGTAGCAATTCAACATACAAAAACGTCTACTGCGCAAGTTTATTTTTATATGGTTTTGCTCAAAAAGTTTGCCGCTACCTATAGTTTTACTCCGATATCATTGGCGTCTCTATGTTGTGGTGGCCTTTCACCAACCTCTAGAGATTTTGAACCTTAAATACAAGATTTAAAAGAGCAGTTATTATTTAGGACTGTGGCCGGCATATTTGATTTACACTATCGCAATCGCTAGTATTTAAAAAAATCTTTAGAAAAAAATTATGCGGTAATCAGAAGGGCTAGGTTTTGATGACATATTTTAAGTTGAAATTTATGTATTTAAAAAATAAATTAAAATACCCTCGTTTAGAGTAATCAAAAGTCAAAACATCTTTATTAAAATTCTAATTTAATAACAGTTCAATTGCATGCATAGCACAACTATTTTGAAGCGTCCAACATTTTTTTACCCTAACACTCCTTACTGGATATATGTTTTAGCTGTGGAGAAAGACGAGCGAAAAATACTCAACAACATTAAAAGAATAATGTAACAATGTTTGTGAATGTTTCAAAAGTCATTATGTTGTTACAACGTCAATACAGTTATGATTTATTTCTTATATATTATTATTGGAAAACCTGTTGGAATGATTGGAACAGTACCACTAGCACGAACCATTATCGAATTCGAATAGTTTGCAAATGCGAAATGTCATTATCAAATTTTTTGACGACCTCCGTAGCCGAGTGGTTTGTACACCGGGTTTCATGGTGTCGCCGACTCGAGAGGTCCCGGGTTCGAATCCCAGTGGAGGCAGATGTTTGTGTGATGAATACGAGGATTTGTACTAAAGCCATGGATGTTTTTACCCTAGTATCCCATAACACAAGCCTTACAGTGCTTACTTTGGGAATAGGGTAATTGGTGTGTGTTAAAAAAATATAATGTATGGAAACTTGTGCAATGTGCGGCGTCGGGAGAAGTAATATAATACACAAGAAAAGCCGAGCCTTAACTGAATATTTATTGAGATGAAAACAGGGTTTTTATAGTAATTTGAAGTAGGTCAATACGATAATGTTCTATAATAACATTTAGCTTGTTTAAAAAAGTATCCGATTACATAGAACACATTTACCTTGAGAAAATAGAATATTAAAACGATAATCATTTTTATACGTCATCGACATGACGTCGTGCATCGCGTCATAATGGACATAACGAGAACTAAAAATCTGTACACATTTGACAACGACATTGAACACTCGCAAACTATTCGAATTCGATATTGGTTCGAGCTAGGGATACAATTGTATTTCAACAGCGATTTCGGAACGAATACAACAGCGATTACAGTGCAAATAAAATGTTCGTTCGAGTGTATAAGAACTTGTATGGGATACAGTGAGTGCTTAGATTTAAACAAAAAGGGAAGATACGGTACTAGCGGCTCAAAAGTGATCCGCTTAAACTGTGGTGCACGATCACAATTCGCTGTAGTCACAATTGGACCTTCAAAAGACCTTTTTTTCTCAAAAATCACGGTTTGTTGTGAATGTTATTTACGTAATCGCCATTTTGTTATCAAGAAAAAGACAACAATATAGCTCAGCCGTTCGCACTCGGAAGCTGATTCGCCGTTTCGCTCGCTCTACGTTGAAGGACAGGAGCTCTATTTTTGAATCACTCGTCTTGCGTCGAACGCTCGATTTCTACTAAATTTCATTCGACATAATTAATTCCGACAATGAGTAGTAGTAATTACCGGTTTTTATTATTTCTGTTTTAAAATTTCGTATTTCGTATCAAACAAGTAACACTGGTGACGAGTGATTCAAAAATACGGAAAATCAGTATTATGCGACTTGAAAGTCGAAGGGGACTTATGTAGCATTTGACGATACTATGTCAGACGAGTGATTCAAAAATAGAGCTCCAGTTCTGTCTCGCTCATCATCATCATCATCAGCCTATTAATGTCCCCACTGCTGGGGCACAGGCCTTCCCCTGTCTCGCTCGCTCGATTGAAAGTTATTTGCAGACGTGTGCGTGTGTAAGAGTTGCTTATGTAGTTGAGTCGGATCATATTTTATTTGATGCTAGTATGAGCGTACCGTGTCTTCCCTTTTTGTTTTAATCTAAGAGTGAGTGAGTGTTATTTGATGGATATTAGTCATTTTTCATAACAGTAATATTGTACCTATCTAATGCCACTTTCTATATAAGTACTAAAATATAATGTGAACTATAAAATTTACTGTATAATGCAATTCAAATAAGAATAGGAAAGCCAATGACCTCTATCTATCAAATGTCGCTTGAAAAGTACGGTTTGCAACAAAATCTTGGAACCCTTTTTTAGCACTCTGCTAATTCAAGAATAAAAACCAAACATTTGTAAACAAACAACAACAAATATTGATAATTAATATCGGTTATTATTTTTTTTTCACTTATTGACTTTGGCCATGAATGGTGGATAACCTAAATCGTCAACCAAATGTCACTTCAGTTGCACTAAAGTTGCGTTCAGAAACTCGATTTCAAACTTTCGTTTACATAAAGGATGCATGTTCGTATGTGACCTAGTGCATGATTATTCATAACTACTCCGACGGTAATGCAGAGATGAGCGGAATAGAAGAGCTAGATTCTGATTTTTTTTTCTCATAGTCATAATAAATAAATATTATTAAAAATCGGTGTTTTTTTTCTCATCTTAGTAAATAAATGTTATTAAAAAAATCTGATGCTTTTTCTCACTTATTCATAAATAAATAAGTTTCATTTTTTTTGCTCACTCCACCTATTTGGTTTGAATTGACAGCTATGGCGTTACAATATGGCGCCCAGTCAGTCCTATTCTTAGTTTAGTCGCATTATAACAATATATTTATATTCTGAATGATGTAATGTGAGATGACTTCAGACGTATCTCTAAAGTCATTATTCAACTTGACGACTCTGTATATAACAATACAGGGAGAAATAAACAGCCCTTGCTGAGTTTCTTGGGTTCTTCTCAGTACAAGGTCTCCCGCCGTAGTTTTGCGAACCGATGGCGTAGCTTCTTGACCTTCACAAGTGCTTCTAACAGCCTAGACTGAATAAGTGACTGTTTATTTCATTTCAGTGATGATTCCCACCTGTTATCGTCGGCGGGCAGTGCGCCGGCGCGGTGTATGAAGGTGAGGCATCGCGCCGCGCCCATCGCCACCGGCAGTGGCTTGTCGCGAGACACTAAACCCATCAGCAACTCTGGGATATTCTTGTCGCCGTATCTACAATGATTTAACTCTCAAACTCTTTATTTGCAAACTAAGTGTTACATATGGTTCTTAAACACAATTCATAGCATCTTATGACTTAGTCACCTTGTACAGGTATAACAAATAATAGATAATTCAACATTTATTATTATGATATTATGTATTACATATCCAATTAAAAACCAGTTCTGAAGATGGAACCCAGAAATGTGGTATGGGATTAGGGTTGCCAACCCTACTATATAATATAGTATCCTACTATATTAGGAGATCAAATATTATATTTCTAAAATAAATATACATATAGCAGGCGAAACTACTATATTTTGCTGAAAGCAGATATTTGCCAGTAAAAGCTTTCATAATAATAAAAATTTAATTATTCCTTAGCAATGAGCAGCAAAAATACATTTTTTTCTAAAATAAGAGTCAATATTTTAACCACATACTATATTTTTCCCCATGTTTTACTATCTAATATATTTTAAAAGGTAACAGCTTCGAAAATACTATCTTTGATAGAAAAAAAGTTGGTAACACTATATGGGATCGATTTCAGACTATAGGTGTAAAAGATCCGTCACCTTCCGTTTATAAACAAAACTTCTGGTTAGCTACCCACAAACTTTAACAGGGTGGCGATGATGATGATAAATAATTTCAATAAGAAAGATTTTATTATTATCAATTCCGACTAAATTCAAAATTCTGTTATCAATAATAATAACTGTAACAATTTAACCATATTAAACTCAAAGTTCTTTAAAAAAAGCTCCAAGCATTGTAACTACTTACACCAATCGTTGGCTGAGTGACTGCCAACAAGCTACTAAACGCGGACACTAGTGGCGACCACTTGATTTCTCTAGATTCGATTGATGGCTGCGTCTAGTGACTGAACTGAGCCACTAGTAGTCGCGTTTAGTAGCTCTAAGTAAGCTTGCTCTAAGTTCCTAATTACATAGTTGTTTCTTTTAAAGCTTTGAATTTAGAAAAGGTGACATAGTTACAATGTTATATAGACATGTTTAGTGGCAGTGATTAGTGGCTCAATTTGCTGCTGCTGCTGTTATGCAAACGATTAGTTACCTAGTCTCGAGCGCCACTTGCGACACGGTGGCGCTCTCGAAGCACATGGCGGCGAGTAAGTCTAGCGCCGGGAGCACCCTCGCCGGGGGCGCCACCGAGCGGCACGGAGAAGGCGCCGACGACGCAGGGGGCGCCAGCGCGGCCGCTAGGGCTCCGCAAGCGCCCGCCGCGCACAGCGCCTCCTGCTCGCGGGCACTCCCGCACCATACGGATAGAATACGCACCACGCAAGCTCGCGCCGTGCCGGAACCTTCACGGGCTATCTCTAGCCAAGAGAAAAATAATATAGGTTGTCGTTTCTTTTTATTTTATTTCAAAATACCAACAATGTGACAGTCAAATTACAAAACAGTAAGTGTGAAATGTCATGATTATATCAAGTTATATCTGTGCAAAGTCAATAAATTTTTCTTATTATCAAATCAATGAATAAAGAAAAATATCAAAATTTAAATAATTCTAACTTATTCAATGAAAATATTCTAGTGCATTTTTTCTATTTGAATTAATACACAGGAAAGAGCTTAGCTATACATTCACATTGACAATTGCTTTAGCTTTCAAGGACATTGCAGTCAGATTTAAATTAATCTTTGCACTTTCTACTTGCATGTAACTGTACATAATAAAATTAATTTAATTTGCCTATAATGTTGAGGAGACATGTCATGCTCATTGCTACTTCTCTGTTGTAAAATACATTTCATCCATGTTTGCACATTTTCCCTCTTATTAATAAACGAAGAATAAGCTTGGATTAGTAACTCTATTTTTTGTCTCTTTTCCTTTAATTACAAATGGCACTTGAGTGAAATGAACAAAACATGGCATTACTAGTTTATGCTCATTTCTCGTTTATTTATTAAGGGGTGTAGGATATCTACTATTATCACAAAGACAAATCAGTTATTCAAAATTGGAATTCAAAATTGTAAGTTATTCTTTTGAATTGATATGAGTAATGAAATTCAAAGTAAAAAAAAACACTATGTAGGCTCTTTGCAGTTTAAATTATAAGATTTACAGGGAAATTAACTTACGTGTCAGTCTTGTCAGAAGCCTCATATCAACTGGCAGAGCAGATATGGGAGCAGGGGGATGCAGGAATATACTTCTTAAGGCACATAGTCCTGCCTCTGCCAATTTGGTGTCTATGGGCACTGTTTTCAGCAGTTCTACTAAAGCTGTAGCTGCTTCTTGTTCAACTAGTGAATTCACATTCTCAGCTGTACCTTTTGCTAATGAACCTGTTTACATAAAATACATACATATAAATATAAGTTTTACTTATGAGATTTTAATTTAATTAATAATAATATTTTTTATTTAGCTTTTCACACACTTAGATTTACAAAAATTAGTAGGTGATATATACAATCAATAAAGCATCATCCATCATAAATATATTTCAAAACTATTTATATGAAGTGTGAGAAGCTGGTGCCTGAAGTAGGCATTAAAAGGAAGTTGTACAAGTCACCAGGCTGGCAATGGCACAATTAAAAAATAAGAATCTGATGTGTCTGAATGTTTATAATATATACTAAAAATGTGTTATTAAATTGTAAACTCAATAAAATACATACAACCAGTTTTTATTTCTACCTGATTGTTACGCTTAAATAAAAGTTAGTTAAATAAAAGCTCATCAAAGATTGATTGTGTTTGAACCACAAAATGGACTGAGTGAAACTCATAGAAACTAACTTTTATAATTTATATAAAAGAAATAGTATATCCAAACATATCATTAGCAGTTCAAGTATAATCTTATAAATATTAAGATTATACTTAAAATTCATCTTTTCTCTAAAAAATATTGAGATTAAATGTACCGCTGAAAGGTATTATTTTTACCATTTGAAGATTTAAGCCTGCCACCCAAGCAAGAGCACCATGATATGATATATAACATGTTTTTATCATGCTCAATTGTCAAATTACTATGGAATTTGACAATTGGGGGCGATAAAAAACGTGATATAATGTAAATTGAGATGCTCATGCTACAGGTATATAAAGTCAATACATATTAACATGATGGAATCTAATGAACAATATGAATAGTAAATAAATCAATGATTACCTATTGTGATAGTAGCTTCGAGCCTTATAGTGGGATCTAAGGCCACATCTGACATCAGCTGTAGCAAACGAGGGACGACACCCTGCTGTATAACTGAACTTTTCTGCCGATTACTTCCAATCACTGAATTTTTTAGTGTCACTAACGCCTCCACAATCTTACTTGGATCCGATGAATATAGCTCATCAATATACGAACGAGAGCTTTCAATATCCTAATGAAGAAATTGGTTAGAGGTTACCTGAACCGATCAAGAATGACAAATGTTATTATGGTATGAATTGTGATTTACTTACCATGAAAACTGTTAACTGCTGCATAGTTTTCACTGAGATTTGCGCAGCAGTATATTATAAATATCTTTTTTGGAAGTATTTCGAGGCCGAATGCGCTGTCACTAAACTTATCTGTCACATTGACATTTTTTTTACATGATTTCTTTTTCTTTTAATTTTCATGGTGTTAGGGAAGAGATACTAAGTCTATATAGCCAAACCTGAATTAACTTTTATAAATATAAATAAAAATATGTTTTATTTTACTCCATAGAAAGCAATTCTTATTATTGCGCGTTATTATAGGTCGATAATATTGGATGCGTTATTGCGATGATTCGACATACTTATATCGCAGTAGTGCATGCGATATTATCGACCGACTTTATAAAATGCGCCAAAGGGCCTGAGCTGAAGCCTAAATCATATATTTTTAAAATCTCAAAAATAAAAGAATAGTTAGTTTGCCCTATCAGAAAAGGAGTAAAAAAGACTTCTGTTCTGTATCTCTCACTGGTCTCGTTTTATAGGTAACAGCACTCAGCTCTGTTAAATGGTTCATTTACAGAATATAATGGCAGAATTATACATACATAAATGTCTTGTTGTGTTGTGACTATAAATGCGAAATCATTTTTCGTTATTAACGATTATTTAACCGTATTTTATGCTTGATACGGTTAACAAGCATCGCGAGATGGTGCTAGTGGATTGAAATGTGAAGTGCGAGTTTACGGGTGGAAACACTATTATCATGGTTTTTATTTTTAGTTTTTAATCAAATAGTTTAGTTATAATTTTTATTTTTTAAGCATGTAACTGCTTGATGTTTGAATCAAAAGAAAATATAACTAGAAAGAAAACAATAACTAGAAAAAAATTCAAACATCAAGCAGTTACATGCTTAAAAAAAATGGATGCGTGTAACTTCTGCTAAAGAAGTTATACTTCTTTAGCATCATTAAAAATATTTTTTAATTGCATGCAAATAATTAATAATTACAATTAAATAATAAAAGGACTGGAAAAGGACAGTTAACACAGTCAATTAAGTTCAGTTTTAATTTGAAAAATTAAATAAATATTCAAAATATTCAATTAAAATCACTACTGAATTTAAGTTATTAGTCCATATGTAATTAGCACTTGTAAGTAACTAAAACACGTTGTGTCTATATAGAAACTAGAAACATGTGGATAAATATTATAAATATGAAAACAGTGATCAGAGGCGACGAGCGTGCCAACATTGTTTTTGACCACGCGATCATCTTATGGAGCTCCGTGGATCGTACAAAGTACCTTTCGAACAGATGTCTAATAATGGTGGATTATTAACCACTAAGTGGTTAATAATCCACCATTATTAGACGCTAACATTCATAACGCGCCCGCGGCCAACTTCATGGTGTTACTATTGTGTTACAGTGATGCGCGCGCATCTCGAAATTTCACTCACATTATTTTTTCATAACGCGCCCGCGGCCAACTTCATGCTGTTACTTTTGTGTTACAGTGATGCGCGTGCATCTAAAAATTTCACTCTCATCATTTTTTCATAACGCGCCTAAAGAAGTATAACTTCAAAAATAAAAATTATAACTGTACGGGACGCCAGGCTGTCGCAGTAGCGGACAGATACCGACTCGTACTTCGGGGTGGAGGAAGTTACACGCAGGACGGCTTGACGGCGATAGTGGACTGTAGCTTCGGTGAATAAAACTCCCGGTGTTCGATATTGAAGAGATCGGTGGGCGCTGGTAATGGATGGCCGATGAGAGGAGGCTTCAGGTCCAGAGTGAACCGCTTGTTTCTTCCTGTTCCTTAGGGTAGGAGCGCCTGTCGCTGAATGCATGTCGGAGCCTGTTCCGACTCGAATTTTATATGCTAGGTGTATAATAACTTTGGATTATTGGTGTTCGTCAATTAGCAAGGAAAATTGTGTCCAGTTGTGGAAGGTGCAGACGCTATAAAGCCAAACCGTGCATTGTACCAGAGGCTCCTTTGCCTAGATGCAGAACTAACTACCTCGCAGCTGCCTTTGAAACCTGTGGTATTGATTACGCAGGCCCTCTACTTCTGAAATCAAAAGAAAAAGCCTATATTGTCTTGTTCACGTGCGCTGTATATCGGGCCGTTCATTTCGAACTTACCACCTCGCTGTCGACAGAAGCCTTTCTCATGGCACTTCGGAGGTTCATAGCAAGACGGGGTAGAATATCAACGATTTACACCGATAATGGCACGAATTTCGTGGGCGCTGCACGTCTTTTGACGCAAGTAGATTGGGACCTCGTACGGTCTTCTACAGATCTTCAGCCTATCAATTGGATATTCAATGCTCCTTCAGCACCCTGGTGGGGCGGGTGGTGGGAAAGATTGGTTCGTTCTTTGAAAGATTTGTTACGGAGAGTACTAAGCAAAGCATCGGTAACGTGTGTCGAGAATGGAACCGTTTTGTGCGACTGCGAAGCTGTTATCAATTCAAGACCGTAAACATACGTTACAGAAAACGATACCCTGTCCCCAATCACTCCCAACCATTTCCTTCAGAGTATTCCAAGGAACCAAATTCCCGAATTACACGTCATAGATTCAAAAGGTCTAAATGAAAGAGTTCGTTACACGCGAAAGCTCCGAGAAGATTTATGCCAACGTTTTAAATCCGAATACTTGGCTATGTTGGTACAAAGAGGAAGGACCAGATCGTCTACCCCTCTCAAGACCGGCGATGAATTGAGATGCCAGAGAAAAGAGTTCATTGGCCTCTAGGAATCATCGAACAGTTGATGACGGGCAGAGATGGTGAGACTAGAGTAGCCAGAGTCCGCACAGAGCGTGGCGAGTTGATTAGGCCGGTTCAGACCCATGCGCTCCGTGCGCGCCGAGTGGGGAGCGCGAAAGTATTAGTAAATCGTTCTATACAAACTAATTTTGCCTCATATTCGGTACATTTCTATCTTTATCGATTTGATGCCTATTTATTTATGTAGTCCTATCTTACGATATTCGGCTCATTCTAATAAAACAACAAGGAAATAACATTTTTAATGATCGTACAAAACAGATACATGTGAAATTGCATCTATAGACATATTTTATAAATCAATCTTGTTTCGATGTAAACTTTATTTCTTCTGGCTTCGGTCGTCGCGTACAATAACTATAACTGCTATTTCTTCTTTCAAATGTTTAATACTTGTAAAAGTATTCATTTGACCAAGACCTTACGTACTATGTATTAATGGTGACTTTGAATGCGTAAATTATGCTTTATATTGTTTTGACTACGCGATTATCGTACGGTGCTCTGTGCATCGTTCAATGTACCTTTTGGACAAGTTTCGGCCACGATTTTGTTCGTGATGTACATTATTAAATATCGTTGGGTTGGCAACTTATTTTAATTATTATGAAATTTGTTCATAGTGGATATTGTGAAATATTTTTTTTGTGATTTAGTGTTACAACTGTAACGCTAGTCAAGTGGACATGAGAACTATATTATAGTGTTGACTACCTCACAGAAGCTTATCGAGAAAGCTGACTCGGTGCATTTCCTACGAAATATTAGAATGTATCACACCCACATTCTAAAGTAAAAAAAAGAATATTAATAAAACTGAGGCTTAGACTGTATGGGAATTGTTACCTTTGGCTTCCCTGATCGTTCTAGGATGTCAGACACTGACAGACAGACACATCTGATAACGTTTGTTTAGTCTGTGACCATCCATTATTTCGTTCGTCTTATTGTATTGTTGTATTTGATTCGAAAGGTTTTGTTTAATTTGATCTAAAAAAAACAGTGAATAGAAATTCATTTCTTACTTTTTGCATGCATGCTATAAGATTTATTAATTAAAGTCGGGATAATGACTGATTCAGGTGTTGATACCAGTAACGAGAGCAGTGACAATCCTGTATTCGACCATTCTCAATGTGTCTTGGAATTTAATCCCCCAGCAATACCCATAAACCAAGTAGGTCAGCCAATGCCTATAGAATTTTTCGACCGACCTCATGATCATATCGGTAAAATTAAATGTTGCTTAAAAGGACGGCAATACAGATTAAACAAATATCGATGTGGAGCCACGATAAGCTCATCAAGAAATCAAAAACTGAGATTTGCTGCCTCAACGAATAATACTGAACTAGTGGAGAAGATATTGTCATCAGGAGCTGATCCGAATTCTTCAGATGAATTCAAAAGAAGCCCTCTCCACTTGGCAGCATGTCGTGGATATGTTGATGTCGTAAGAACGCTTTTAAGACATGGTGCTAATCCTAATATAAAAGACACATTAGGAAACACTCCTCTTCATCTTGCTGCATGTACAAACCACATACCAGTTGTTATTGAATTACTTGACGCTGGTACTGATGTGAGTTCAAATGACAGATATGGAAGAAATCCCATACAGTTGGCTCAAAGTAAATTGAAACTTATTCAAATGCGTCCTAGTGGAGCAGGTCATTTTGAAGAAACTAAACAACTTATTGGAGAAATATGCCTTGTAGTTGAAATGATGCTTAAGTATATGAAAATTCAAAAAGCAGATGCTGCAGACTTGGAATCCGTCCGTGAAAGGCTGGAACATGTAAGCACTCGAGAGCAAGTGGATTCTGAAGTCCAAAACTTACTTGACAGTCTTGATTCACTGAAGTTAAAATAAATTAAGTGACTAAAGTATTTGGACCTATATATAATTCAGAAGACTGTTAACATTCACTTATTGTCTAATTCTAAGAATTTATCATTTAGTTTTAAGCAAATTATATCAATCAATATTAAAATTCTCTGATTATAGAACCAAATTTGTCTCCATAAAGTCTGAATAAGGAAGAATTGAAAATTATTAAAAAACTCATTCAAATAAAAACTAACATAATAAAAGTAAACCTTCAAATCTTAACAAATAATAATTGTTGATTTGAGTTGTATTCAGGAAAAAACAATGACAGGTTACCACCTCAATATCTGCAATGTTTTTATGTCAATCCAGTGTAGGTATTTCATGCTAATATTAGTAATTGACAATTTCTATTATTTATATTAGCAATTCATGTTTAACCATTAATTTTTAACACAAATAATCTTCATAGATTCAGAAATATATAAGATTAGCTTTGGATAAAGCTATAATTTTTTTTTGGGAATCCCACTGGAACCTCCTTTTTTCCAGGATAAAAGGAATACTTTGTCTATTAGCCAGGTAATAAACTAAATGTGTGCCAAATTTCATCCAAACCATTCAGCTGTTTTTGCGTGATTGAATAACAAACTTTCTCATTTACAATAATAGAAGAAAATGTTTCTAGAGATAGTTTTTTTTTAAGATGTTGAGGTCTGCAGAAACCTGAAAATTTTAAAGCCAATAAAAATTGTGGTTTGCTTTTGTACATAATTTTATGTATGTTCTTACTATTCTTCTAGCAAAATTAAATGTTTCCTATCTTGCTTTATTTTCATTTTAAGTGAGGCTCATTCAAATGAGACTGGTAATTAATGATAAGCTAAGGAGGTGAAGTATTATTGTACATTTTCTTCCAGTTTCATTGCTAGAGTTAATTTCACCAAGCATAAAAGTTAACTTTGTTGCTCTCCAACATTCTTTTATATCTAAGCATCTGATTGCTGCCTAATTATTTTTCTTATCCACATGTTCACAAATCTAGAACATCCTCTGCAAATTGTGATGTATTCAAATGTTTTTCAAAGACATATTTGGATTAAAGAGTCAAAATTACATCCTTCTATAAACAGTGAAATCTTTGTAAACATAAGTGTTTAAGAATGTGTATTCTTTCATATTCTGTAAATAGTTGCAATATGCCATTTTGATTGAATAATTTTTGGAGAAAAACATGCATGTAAGTATTAAAAGCTTTCCAAATATTTGTGTTTTTTTTACTTTACCCATATATTGTTGAATTGAAGAACCATAAGGAATAAAATACATAGTTAATCAAAAATTATTTAATAACAACAATTTCATAAACTTTTATTTACATTAATACAATGCATTTAAAATTTTCATTGATATATTTGGAAACTTGGAATGTAGCCTTGTATCACCAGATAATATATAAATACAAGATTAGCAGTAAATCAACAAACATAATACATAATCCATTCAAAATTGCAATATGAATAATAAAAATAATTTGTGCTTTAGCCGTGTCTTGATGCTGTATACTGCTTAATTATATATTTTGTACACATAAAATTCAGTAACTGCAACCAGGCAGGATTTACTATAGGCAGATTGAAAACTGCTTATTCACAAAAGACTTGTTTTATGAATAAGCAAAGCTTTTAGAACTCAAACATGCTTAACATAAACCATCATACACACACTTTTAAACAGGATATCAAAGAAACCTGTATTACAAAAAAAAAATGCTTATATATTATCAATCACATTCTTAAACAAATAAATATGAAAAAAATAAGGCAATACCTGGGGTTATTATTTTTGAACTCTTAATCATGTATCCACATTATGGCAGAATTTTATAACTATCACAGAAGAATTTAAAATAATAATTTAGTAAATATAATAATTATTAATACTGCCCATCAACCTTCCCATCCGCGATATAAGCCAAACCATGTTTGTTATTGCTTTATGTGAAAATATATAAAATCATATTTCTAAGTACAAAATATAACACAAACCAAACCCACTTCCCAGTTTATTATATATTTCTAAATAATATACTTACATGCAAATAACGCACTTAAGGAATTGCTAGTTGCATAATGGAATGCACCCTTAAAATCTATACAGCTTTAAAAACACTATTACATTACGTTCAGTGCACATATACACCTATGTGTTTGAGCTTTTCTAGAAACGTAAATAAATCAAAAATAAAACACTCGGCGTAAAAAAAAATCGCATCTCCGCGAAAATAACTTTCATGCGTTATTAACCCTTAACACGCACATGTACCCCCTCCAAAATTGGTGTCATTTGAGAACCCATTAAATAAACATAAAAAAGCTTGATACCACGAATGTAACTTTAAAATAATGGCAATTTTGCTCCTCAAAACGACCACTAGTTGTGCTACCTTTAGTGGGTATAAAAAGGTTAATACAGGTTCAATTGGGGTTATTCGAGCAGACCACTCATCGTACGCGCACCTGTGGGACATCACGCCTGCGTACGACCGCTCCCGTACCCGCCGCAACAGAAAACTCCCCAGAGAGCTCCTGGAACTCGCGCTCACAACACAGTAATTGTGCGCGACTTCCTTGAAGAGGTTGGGATCTCTGTCATGCAGTGGCCAGCGAGAAGTCCAGCCCTAAACCCTTCCTATCCCGCTATATATCTAATCCCGCTCCTACGACTCTCCAGGAGCTCGAAGAGGCCGTTATTGAGGAATGGGCCAGTAACCCTCAAGAAGAGCTCCGAAAATTAGTAAGATCCATGAGGAAGCGTGTGGAAGCAGTCATCCGGGCAAGGGAGGTTATACTAGGTTTTAGGTTAGTTTTAAGAACCTGTTTGTATTTTGTTTTTGTGTAATTAATCTGTAGTTATTGTTTTTTGCACTGTTCCAATAAAAATAAAAATTAAGTAATTGAATTGATTTTATAAGTTTATTTAATGGGCTTTCAAATGACACCAATATTGTAGAGGGTAAATGCGTGCGTTACGGGTTATAATAACGCTCGAAACTTGTATTCGCGAAGGTGCCATTTTCTTGACGCCGAGTGTATATAAAAGTCAAAAGATTTAATCTTAAATGCAAGTTTAAGAATGTTATTCAATAACATGATGTTGATGGAATAAATTATTATTATTGCATTCCAATACTATAAACTGCTTCAAGCTACATTTTATAAATAAACTTAAAATAAATAGGTAATAGGAATCAACATACCCTCACTGATAGATTAACAATTCCGAATAATCAATTATTACTTCAAAAAAATCAGTGCTTGAACAATTTGGCACTCTTAATTTTCAAAGGTTTGACTAGTTACTAAACACAATTTTAATTATTTATTTACTTAAAAGTATTATCACACTTATATGAATCAATTATAAAATATGTATCAATAATGATTATGACAGAAGTACCTACGTACCAGATACGTAATTTACTTAAATAATTTTACAGAGTACTATCGATGAAGTTTGTGTTCTGCCACTTTTAGGCGATAATCACGTTGTGAACTCTATCCGCCTTATTACAAAACGTAGACTAAACCAGGACTCAAACTGATGATTTCACTATTGCTTGTTCAAAAGAAGACAGAGACAACATTAGGTTAAAACCAAGACTATGAGTGAGGCGGTAATGAGTAGAGATCGGATAATCGGATGCATATATACATAAAGTCGAGATGTTGGCTATTATGCAAAGCACTTTTTTATCAACAATAAAAACCCGCGATTCCGGGAAATTCAAATTTAAGTCTCACGAAGTGATCTAATGAACCCAGATTGACACAAACGACAATTGCCCTGTGAATTGTGTATAAGATAAAAATATTGTGTAAAATGTCCTTAATGTTTTTTTTACATTTATAATTTGTTTTCTTATTAACGAAATCACTTTTCTCTTATACTCTTACACCTTTCATACACATACACTGGAATGGGAAATATAAATTTAACTTTAAGCAAATATACATCCGATTAGTTATGCGATCCTGGAATCTCGGATTTTATTTTTAATAAAAATATCTTAAGAAGCCTCTTTTGTTAGCAAAAAAACTATAAAAATAATATTGGCAGACATTTTTTATCCGATTATACATGATAATTGCCCAACATCCCAATTGGAAGAAATCTTACTAAATAGCGAAATCATGCAGTACAAGTGATTAATGGCCCAAAAGTGATAATAAATCACCAACTTTATCCATACTACATAAAAGTTTTATATAACAATAAAAAAATCAGCCAAATTACTAAGTATGTTGTAAGAAAGAACAAATCACTTTCTTGGTTAATTGAAATTGGTACTTTGGTAGTAAAATTTAGATATATTCTGACACAACCTTGGTTTTCCTACGTGGTTACATTCTCTCGTATGGCAAATTCAATCGGCTCGGTTTATTATTAATAATGATAACCATCCACTTAATTGCTAAAATCAAAACAACCGCGAGTTATGTTTTAGTGTCCGGCACTGAGATGTTAACTAAATTGGGGAATATCTCACCCTGAATGGGACCGTATTCCACGCACTCGCCGTCGACCGTGAGATAGCCATCCGGACCCTCGGGTACTATTCGGAATGCGCTCACCGGAATCATTTTTATATGATCGTTATTAATTTCCGCGTGGGAGCCCTGACCCACGCCGAGGAGGAATGAGAGAAGCTGGGATCTGGCGACGCCTGCTTTGATGACCAGCATCCATATCACTCCGTCGGAGAGCTGCGAGCGGGGTGCAAATAGGAAATCCTCTCCTATATACTGCTGATACGCAATGTGGACTAATATGAACTCTCCTTGCTCGTGCACCCAATGCGCGGGTAGCTGAGACATCAAAGACGGCAGATGAGAGGCCGGGCCATGCATGCAGGCGTGTACAGGTGAACGCATTTCGGAACCGCCACTGGTGACGCTGTGGTAGTCGGATCCGCGGGTGCTGTAAAATGCGCTTCGTCGCGAGTTCACAGAGTACCACGAGTCCACGCGCTGGTGTTTACCGTTCACTGTTCTAGAGATTACATCCGCGTGCTCGTCGCAATCAATGAACGCTTCCGCGTCGGGGGAATCGAGCGCGCCGTCCTGGCTTATGCTGTGGCTGAGGGTGAGCGGTAGTTTCGGCTTGGGCAGATTGCTCACATCCTTAATTTTGACGTAGCTTAGGACGCCCTTGTAACGTCTGAGACCGACGAGGCGCGCCGCCGCCCAAACGGTAAACCTGTGACCACCGATGGCTCGCAATCTCTCGCTCTCTATGTCGATATCGGAGAGCAGACCCCAACCGACGGAGAGGAACGAAAACATTATCTGAAACAAGAACGTTGCTAACTGTTACTTTTACTTTGTTAAAAATAAGTTAATCAACATGATAACAGATTGCATTGACTCAGTAGCGTGAGTCATGCACGGCAATTGGATAGAACGATGGTATTGCAAACATCCTGGGTAATGGATTACGCTTTTTGTGATAAGATATTTAGATTTAATAAACACCGTTGGACAAACCGATCAGGTTAGGACCGGTTAGATCTTACTGCAAGCGAATCTATATCATCGTGATAAAGCGCGTTTCTAAAAAATAAGCCGTTTCCGCATTGGCCTCAACAGGAATTGAATCCTGGACATCAGCGATAGCGAAAAATCACAAGCGGCATGCTCGCCCCTGTTTACTAAAGAGGTCGAAAAAACAAATCACTAACTACTTATATGCAATCAGGTCAACTACACATTATAGTCATATGAATGTGAGTCATTAATAAATTGATTCAATAAGAGATAATGTGCCAGTTAGTAACTTGTCATCGTAAAGTATGCAATACGAACTGCGAATACGTACGTACTCGAGACAGTGTAGTGTAACCACGACCTGAGAACGCCGATTATTATCAGAGGACGTACTCAATTGAATGGTGCTAAACAAATCAGTAATAGGCACCTGTCGCATCATTGTGGGCTTATTCCAGTAATCCCCGCTGATTAATATCTACCGATGCACTACCATATCGGCATGTGTATTTAACATATAGGGAGCTTTTTCACTATTCTGACAAAAAAAGTAGTTAATAATATTATTAAATACCTGGGTATTTCTGGAATTTCTGGAAATATAAAAGTATTTTTTGATCTATTGTCACATGACTTAAAATGCCTAGGATTGGCGGAGCCTAAAATGACGTCACCTGTTTATAAACATGCTGTTAAAGTTTTTAATGAGAGCAGTGTGACGTCGTCATCCATATTTGAAAACATAATTTTTATTTTCGTTTTTTTTACTAATATATACAGAATTATAAATATCTACCTTTCATTGAGCCAGTAAACAATAATAAACAACGTATGAACGTTTCCAAAAACATGTCAAATAGCCTACGACATTGATACAAAAGAAAATTACACTAAAAAGGAAAAAACGACCCGACTGGTTTAGAGGTCAATGATGAGCTTGTCATAGTCAACGACTTTGTTTCAACATAGACTTGATGAAAGAAAAAAATTGCATTTTCTTTTATTGTCAGAAAGTGTTGTTCTTGAAATGGGTTCTGTAGAGATTGTCTGGATATTTTTTTTGTTGAAATACTTCTGTATTTGAAAATATTCATCATCCCTACTACTGGACTAAGAAACTGTGACATGTAAATTGTTCGTAATAATGGAACTGCCGTTGGATTAGGGTGCTTACTAATATTCAAAAGCTGAATAGTTTGTTTGTTTGATTGAACGCGCTATTCTGAAGAATTACTAGTCCGATTTAAAAAAAAGTTAACACCTGATCACTCAGGGGTTAACTTTTTTTTAAATCGGCAACTTATTGAATCAAATTTTATCAACAAAATTTACGTCATTCGAATAAAAAACAGAAAACGTTACGACGCCTTGCCGACACAGATCTTCATCATTATTATAGCGGAATATATTCTGTTATTGTGGCTTTTCATAAAAAGAATAAAACCTGTTATATGGTCAAATTGTGTTGTCTATAAGTGATCTAGTATAAACACAACTACATGAACGAAATAGAGAGGTATTTAGCTGCAACTCAAGTTGTGCTTTGAAACTCAGGAGAGTAAATAATCAAAGCTCGTAAGTAATTATTGTAAACGAGAATATTATTATCATTGGATTTTTTTAATTATATGCGCAATGAATAGAGTTGCTAATGCGAGTCGTTAGGATGACAGGCACCGGTGGTAATATCCATGTCAGTTTGTTTGTATTTCTGAATAAATTAAAGATATTGACAAAAAAGGCGAAGCGTTTATAATTGTGTGCAGCTGACGTCATCGACGTTGACGATGCGTAATCACGGTGTCTGAGGTTTTTCCACTAGAATCAAGAAAATTATGGTCATGTCATGGAACAGTTATACCGGTTTTGATGACTACCTTGTTACGGTGCACGGTGGAAGTCGTGCAACACGATCATTTCAATAATAGTCGTCGCGAATTAAATACTTGTATCACTTGTTAAAGGCGGTTTAAAAAAGAGGACTAGGTATTTTGTCACCTTTAGGATGTGATGCTCTGGCAATGCGGATAAAAGGGTTAAGCTTTGAAAGGGAGGTAGGGCTTACCGGATATTCCGCTCGAATTGGAGCGCACGTCTGGGGAAGTAACCTCCTTACAGAAAGCCACAATAAAATAACACTACCCGTTGGTGGATTTGTTTCTGTCGGTGAGTAAGGTTCCAGGGCTTCACGGGGTAGGGGATTGGGTCAGGGTAGGCAACGGCGTGAGTGATATTTTTAATATCACAAGCGTCAATAGGCTATGGTGGCCGCTAGCCATCAGGTGGGTTATATGCTTGTTTGCAACCCTATTAACATAAAACAACGAGTTGCACTCCGGGAGTGCCGGCAGAAGTGAAAACTTGAATATTAACGTTGTACATTTTTGATATTTTGGAATGGTTAGGGAATAATTTTGCACGAATTTCTTTAATTATCAGTATAAAAGTACTATCATTTATTTGGTAGAATACAATATTTATTTATTGCGTACACAAACATGACATTTATATTACATTAAAAAGTTAATCTCTCAGAAAAATCAACTTAAGCGACATCTATTGTAAAAAAAATGCATTTTCTTCGCAATAAAGCTGCCACCTGGACGTCCTAGTTAGAGACTTATTATTATAATACAATAAAATAAAATAGTACTGTTTCGTCCAATATATTGAAGGTCAACAACCTTTCCAATTTTATTGTCGATCAGGCCAAGTGTCCTGATGCGAGTTTAACATTTTTTACCAATCACAAAAAAAGTGTACAACGCCGCTAAAGAAGTTTTCACTTCAAAAACTTGGATATGTCATTCCGTCCCAAACAGGGTACAACGCAGTCATATGCGACGGGGGAATTAGATTGGGAGATTTTTATTCAATATGCCTGGGCTCGGCCGGGTGGCTGTGTTATTTGGATGGATAGATCCTCGCAGTCCGTAAGAAGACAATAAGAAGCATGGCATTTTGTTCCAGTAACCGAAGAAAAAGTGATTTGTGAATATTGAAAACGCATTAAACAAATTAACGTCAAGGGTTTTATAAATAACTTAGCACATTAAGAAAATCTATGCGGTTAACACATTAAGAAAATCTACTCTAAAGGAAAAATCCAAACAGAAATCTCTTCTTTGCTTCACCTCGCTTTCTTCAGGTAGAATCTCTAAAAAATATTATATTTTTCAATGGAACCTTATGTATAGAGTTTTGGTCTCTATACCAAGATATTATACCCTGAAATGTTACCTTTTAATAAAATATATAATAAAAGCAGCTAGCTTCAGAGATACCAAAAAGTAAAAAAAAAAATTTATTTCCTAACGTGCATCCAAACATTAGCCTACCTTGCTGCTGACTTTTCTGATAATTACTAAATAAACTTATTTTATTTTTTTAGCTGAGCAGACATAAAGCCATTTTTAAACATCGTAGACACTGACTTTGTAAAATCAGATACAAGGACTAGACAAATTGTTCAGTATAAATAGTCACATCCTTTACTGATATGATTAGCCATATCACTTTGAAACATAATCCTAGATAAAACTCAATTACTATCAAATAGTAAATTTTGTTTTTTTAATAAACACGATAAATATAGAATTCTTAAACGTAATATCGTTAAATGGTTACATGTTTTTGTTACAGCGAATGTGCAAACAACATTCTTGGCAATTAGAACCAGAAACAAATCCATAAATGGATTTTTATTTAATTAGTATTAAGGCTCAGACTCCATATTTTATAATTTTATAAGAATACTAGCTGACCCAGTGAACTTCGTACCGCCCTAAAAAAATAGGGGTTGTCCAGCGGACAAAATTGTGAATCTAAACCATTCTCAGATCCCCTTGAACACACTCAAAAAATTTCATCAAAATCGGTCCAGTCGTTTAAGAGAAGTTCAGTGACATACACACTCACAGAAGAATTATATAAAGATATGCTCTCAATCACCAGATAAATAAATTGGTCTCTCCGGTCGACCGCAGAGAGACGGTCAATCATTTATCTACGGCTCTCACATCATTTGTTTTAAGCTAATTTATTACCGATAAAATAAAATATTATAAAAGTAGTAGTGGTAAGCAGGTAGGTTTTTCAACATATATCGGAACATTAAATTTATTTTATATGATAATAAAATGTGATAGAACGCACATTACCTACGGGGTATATACATATACAAACGATGTTTAATAAGCATCATTTTATGACATTATGACAACACTAAACTTTTTAAAGATTTAGCTCTATCAAATGTGATCAATACAAAAATGGAATGGAAAGTTGGTGAGAGCGGGCCAATTTCTAACAATTTTGGATTGTACTTCTGCATGTAATTAACTTTTTGTGTGATTTTATATCACAGTTTCGTTATTCAGATAAGATTTTAGATACAAAAAGGTTATCTAAAGGCTAGGTAAATATCAAAATGTAAGGTAATAGTTAACATTTTTATTCTCCGAATGCTGTCGCACAATTTTGAAATCAAAAAAGAGTTTCTCAGAAGTTTGTGTCTGCTGTTCGCAGAGCCAAGACTAGAGGCTCACTGGGAGTGTAAGTTTTTTCGAACAATTATTATATTCATAATATTACGTAACATCGTTACACTACGGCTCAAGTAGATAGATAATCTTCATTAAAATGCCCCAATGGCTAGTAGGTACACAAACGTTATGTAGTGTAATGATATATAAACGAAACCATAAACTACACAGTTCAAAGTTCATAACACTACCGGTCCTATAATTTAAAACGTGACAAAGCAAATGTTGCTATGATTGAAAATAACAAAGATATACCCAGTCATATACACAGTCTTCATCATCATCAGCTGATGGACGTCCACTGCTGGACATAGGCCTCCTTATGAGATTTTTATGCATAATGGTTTTGCGCTTGCCATATCTAGTGGGTCGAACGACATTGCGCTTCCAGGTGCGAGGTCGAAATTTGAAGCACCTAGGGATCCCAACGTCCATCGGTTCGCCAAAGTATATGCCGCGCCTATTACCACTTCAGCTTTGCGATCCGCTGAGCTATGTCGCTAATTTTAGTTCTTCTACGGATTTCATCATTTCTGATTTGATTACGTCGAGAAACGCCGACCACAGCTCTCTCCATCGCTCGCTCGCACTGTGCTTTTTATGAGGCCCATAGTCAACGACCACGTCTCAACTCCGTATGTCGTCACTGACAACACACACTGTTGACACGACGTCTACAAGCACTGATTTTTAGTATTTTAGGCAAAAAGACATCATCCCAAACGCTGCCCAACCGAGTCGGATTCGGCGATTTACCTCGTTCTCGCAATTGGACTTACCCAACTGGACTATTTGTCCCATATGTATATATATATATATATTTGTCGAAAATTTGAGTGCAGAGTTCTCAACAATTACCGAGTGGAGCGGAACACGAGCGTTAGACATAACTCATGTCCATTTTACGGCCCACTTGCTGAGAGGCTCTGCTGAGGTCGTTGAGCATTGCATTGAGATCCTCCAAAATGTCTGCCATAACGACTATATCATTAGCAAATCGAAGGTGAGTGATGTAATCGCCGTTGACGTTGATGCCGTCCGTTCCATCCAGGAGCTCAAAGTCGTCTTCCAACGCAGCGGTAAACAGTTTCGAGATCATATCTCCCTGTCGCAATCCTCGCTGCAATTGGATAGGTCTCGGAGTCTCATCTTGTATACGGACTGTCATGGTGGCGTTTTCGTACAAACTCTTCAGCATTTGGATGTAGCGATAGTCGATACGGCACCTCTGCAAAGATCTCAACACAGCCCATGTCTCCACCGAAGCAAAGACCTTCTCATAGTCCAAAAACGCTAAGCATAATGGCAGGTTATATTCCTCAGTCTTTTGTATAACTTGCCGTAGCGTGTGGATGTGGAATATGGTGCTGAAGACTTTCCGGAATCCGGCTTGTTTGTGAGGCCGGAAGTAGTTTAACCTATTAGCGAGACGGTTCGTTATGACTCTCGAAAACAACTTGTAGTCGTAGCACAGCAGCGAGATGGGTCTGTAGTTACTCAAAACGGTGTTGTCACCTTTTTTGAAGCAAACCACTACCACACTGCTGTGCCATGCCTTTGGCGTTATGCGTTCATGAATAACGGAATTGAACATCGCTGAAAGATTTTACGTACTGGTTTTCCGTCTGCTTTCAGTTCTACTGTGGTCACCCCTGGTGCCTTGTTGTCCTTCAGTTGTTTCAGAGCATTACTAATCTCGTATAGGCTGATGTCCGGGAGATCTTCGGTATAGTGTCGGGTTAATTTGGCTCTGAGATCCTTAGCCAAATCAGCAACAGGTTGAGGTGTATAACTGTCCATAGAAATTCTCGAACTCCTTCAAAATCTCAAGCTTCGAGGAAATAAGATTACCGTTTTCGGTCTTTTGCTGCGTCAGCTGACGCTGTCCGGTAGACAGATCTCTTGCAACCACTTTTGTGCCTTTGTTGTTTTTAATGATATCTTTAATCTTTTCGGTATTAAAGAACCAAAAATCGCGTGACTGTGAATTAGAGATCTGCCTATTAATTTGCCGGTAGGCTGCCGCATCCGCTGAAGACTGTAATCTCATTTTTTTTTTCTCTCGATCATGAGTCCAAGATTGTAGTCAGAGAACCTCTTTTGTCTTTTATTTCTGTGAGTCTTACAGAATTGGGACCCCACCTTGTGGACAGTTTCCACCAACCTGTTGTTTATTTCGTCCACAGATACGCAAACTTCTAAACAAGCAAAACGATTTCGTATTACTAGTTGGAAACTTTCAGGGTTTTGCATATGTGCGTGAGTGGGTCGGAGCGTTGACTTCACAAATCGCATTTATATTTAATGTGCCTCTTACCATTCGGTGATCACTACCGGTTTTCACCCTGTTGATCACATAGACATCATTCAATATGTGCCGTTTTGTCGACATGATGAAGTCTATCGCATTTACGTCGAACCAAAGGGGCCAAATGCTAGTCGACTTCATGGATACGGAGGGCCTCTATATGATGAACTCCTTCTTAGAGAAGCCGCCAAATAGGAATTGGGTGTGGCTGAGCCCCGATGGTTCCACGAGAAATATACATAGTAAAAAAAAAGTTAATGTATATATGTGGTTGGTTATAAATTTAAACCAGTTACATAAATAGTTACATACCTTAGTTTTGGTCTCCACTCTGACTACGTCCATTGGGGATATTTTGCCGCGTGCCAAAGCCATAGACAGTCCCGTCAAATTCTCAGGAATGTATGGTTCACTGTAACAAAAACGATAATTTATTAAATATAAGTTGCATCCATCCAACAAGTGGTGCAGTGTGGCGGAGGCGGAAGTTACCACTGCATCGAATACTTTCATAAAATATACGCGATTAAAGGTCATCAGGTAATTAATTAATAATATCACTGCTTCCTTTATTTCCATTTTTGCCGAATTCCATGTTGACCAGCGACGTACAGTAACCGGTCAGTGCATTCGCCCGGATAGCGAAGGTGCGGGTTCGAGTCCCGTCTGCTGCCTGGTCCGCGTGGAATTTTTTCTAGTTATATTTTCTTTAGATTTAAACATCAAGCAGTTACATGTTTAAAAAATAAACATTATAACTAATTAGAAACTTAGTTCTAATGCAGAAAAATCGGGTTCTATTAATGAATAATGAACACCTGATTATTTAATTAATGCAATCAGAATCTCATTTACTCATGAATAATTGAAATGATTTAATGTGATGTGAATGCTTTATTTATTAGACTAAAGCATTAGAAGCATTCTATATTTAACAATAAGTAATTAGGATTTTTGTTAATGTAGGGGTTTGTCTTCAAAATTGCACAAAGAGATCTTTAGTGAACTGTTATTTAAAAAATATTACTGATATTTACACTTTGAATGCAAGGGTTCTATTAATGAATAATGAACACCTGATTATTTAATTAATGCAATCAGAATCTCATTTACTCATGAATAATTGAAATGATTTAATGTGATGTGAATGCTTTATTTATTAGACTAAAGCATTAGAAGCATTCTATATTTAACAATAAGTAATTAGGATTTTTGTTAATGTAGGGGTTTGTCTTCAAAATTGCACAAAGAGATCTTTAGTGAACTGTTATTTAAAAAATATTACTGATATTTACACTTTGAATGCAATAAGTGATTGAATGTGTTAATGACAGTGACCGTAATAAAGGTATTTTTCTGTCTGGAAAATTGTACCTATATTACGCTCTTAACTCCAAATAATAATCTTATGACACTGTAGTATGAATTTTATTATAAGCACCTTGTCGACATTTAAATTAATGACAGGATAAAGATAGCAAATAACCGTGATTGCAATAATATTTAAACAGCATTCAAATCCTGTTCGCATTTATATATTTTAATACTCCTTAAGCATTAATGTCTGTTTATCTAGAATCCTAGAGTTATCATCATCATACCATCAGAATTTATTATCTAACTAAACAAATTATATAAACATTTTACACAGATTACAATAAATATATCGTAAGTATACATATTGAGGAGCTTAGGAACAAAAAGCGTAATTTACAGTTTATAACTTTTTGAGTAAATTGAGAAAATACATATTCAAGTTGATCTAAGCAATTTTTATTATTTTTTATTAACCATTTATGTGCCAATTATTGTATAAAATTTAATGTATTATAAGATTATCTTGCTGGTTTTGAAATTTGGAAAAAATAAAATTCATATCAAATGTCACCCTTTGATCCTATAGCTTGTAAATGTACCTATTTGATTCAATAATTTTGTAAACCACCACCACCTTTTGAAACTTACTGTCTAAAAATTGTTACCTTATAAAACATTCAGTATGAAAATAAAAATAAAAAAGGATTCACACAAATTTTAATTTATTATATATGTAATTCTCCACAATCAGGTTCCAAACAATCACAATGATTTTCATTTTCTTCATTGTTATTTTCATCTGCATGACTTTCATACAAAATTTGCTTTTTGCTTTGCGTGATCTGCGGTTAATACGCACCACGTCTACCTCATCTTCTTCCATTTTTATAAAGCAGCCTTACAAATTAATAGAAAAGTAGAATAGAACAGTCATAGACAGAATGAAAGAAAAAGCAGAAACCAACAGGACTAGACTTTTTTATTTTGGTTTTACCTATCGTAGAGAGTTTAATGTTCTGTGCGTTTTACAGAGGAATAGACAATATTTTTTTAATTTATTCTGGCTTTGGAAGTACTAGACTAGGTGGATCAGTGTTGTCAATATACAAAATTATTTAATAGCACTTTAACAATATTTTAAAATCGATTCATTTTTTTGGGTAAAATGTACCCGGTTTAAACCGACTAAAGACTCTTCAGACATAATTCTTAAGAATATGTCACTATTAGAATTCGAATCTTAAAAATTACTGTGATTGAATAAAAATGTAACTTTTTGTTCCGAAAGCAGCACTTCACATCGATTTTATTAAAATACTGACTTTTTCAACAAAATCTTGGGAGTTACAGATAGAATTTAACACTTTGAGCCGAATAAAATAAAAAAATCCGAATTGAGCAAAATACGTAAATGACGCGTTTTGTTCCTAAGCTCCTCAATTGATAAGACAATAGAGGTCCCTCTTGCATAATGTCAAACAAACACCATAAAAATATTGTAAAAAATTTAATAGAAACCCATCTCAAACTTTTAATAAATGTGTTATTTATATCAATCTGGTGCATCAAAATATACTAGGAATGATGGGTAAATTGAGTTAATCATGAACTGTAATAATAAAGACATTTTTTGTATAACAGAACATTGGTCTAAAAGTCATCAGTTTATGTTTAACTTCAATAAGCATCAGATTGATAGTTCGTTCAGTCGAGAAAGTGCAATTCGTGGTGACTCGTTAATTATAATAATAATAAATCATAATTAACGAAAAAAGACATTACATAAAACATGTGTACATTAGAAGCTGCTGAATTATAAAACTGTGTTGCAGCCAGGGATGTTAGATGGGCACCTAGAAATCCTTGTGCCGAGCTGGTTGAAAGCTGGTATTCGAGCCGGGAAACTAGTACGCCTGTGCTCCGCTCTGCGGCGCCGCCAATTCTGAGAGCTGTGTGGGAAATCGCATCATCCCAGTAAAAAAAATGTACATTTCAATTTCGTAGACCGTTAATAGAGGGCAGTGATTATCGAACACATGCAAGAAATATCACTTTTAACATTTTTTTTTGATATTATATTGCATTTCGGATATAATATGTAAAATATATTGAAAAAAGTAAATAAATGATTTCCAACCGTTCAGTGGCGACAGTGGTAAAAGCAGACAACTGACTTGCGATTTTCTGTTCGTGTTAGATTCAATTTCATGTTCAGAAAAAATATTAAATAATTGATCATTTTTATATGAAAATACTCGATTCTTTCATCAATTGAAGAATATTAATCGTTTATAAGCACGTACAATTGATTGGATTTTTTTTTACATGAATCTCTAAAATTTGTCGATTATTCTATATTGTCAGTGTATTTTTGTCGGTCAACGGCCAATCTTGGTATTTTTGCGTACAAGGACTGAATAGCCTTGGTACATGGTACGTGACACTAAAAACTAGTATGTATACCAAGAAGTTGGTACGTCTGACATCATTGGTTGCAGCCGCTAACGCTCCAGAGAAAAATAATAATCTTCGGAAACACGCCGGTTGATAAGCAGATATTAAAGACATAAGTAAGGACGGGTGACAAAACCGTCTTACAAGATTTGAGAACGGATGTGGGAATTTTATCCCATCGTACTGCGGAAGTATTTTTAGGCTTAAGATAGTTCACTCTACTTCATCGATGTCTGTGCTTAATAAGGTCATTGAGTTTAATGTAGGTGATATTTGCACTGATGAATTGAAGCTGCGATGGGGCGCTCTACCCGTGCCAGCTTTTGTAGCTAAATTCTCACCGACGCTGGCAAAGAAATCGTTTATAGAATCAATAGAGGCATGACCAGGCCGAGATAGCAGTTCACTTGAGGAGCACTATATTAACAAACAAATTTTTAAGGAACGTAAAGATATAGTGAGCCTCTTGGTTGAACGTACAATAGAGATTGCCTATGTGGAGTTGGCCTAGCTTAGATACTGAGCGTATACAGACCACCATCGGGGTTGTATAATTGTCTTTAATGCTTCATCCATAATGGTCATAACCATTATGGATGAAGCATTAAAGAAAACCCACACTACAGGCAAATAATTAACTGTCTGTGGTGACTTTAATATTAATTTATTAGAAAATTCTAACTTATGAAGAATTTGTTTGGGGAGCCTACCAGAATAACAGCTACTTCAGCCACTTTTATTGACAATGGTGTCGAATCTAGCAGGATTCTCTAAACTTAAAACTAAATTTAACATCACTCTATCCTTTTCATTCTGTATAGAGAATGCCAAAGATGCACTGTCGTCAAATTTAAGTTTAGCTTTAGAGAATCATGCCAGAATCGACATCAATATCTATACAGATCTTGTTCCAATTTCAAAACTCATTAAAAATCAATTAGATTCCGATTATTGCGGACAGATGTATAGGTTATACCAAAAACTATAGGTAAGAAATTATTTAACATAAAGTATAAACACAATCAAAACAACTTGTACAATGTTTTTTTTTTAATTGTATTGCACAGAATTTAACAATATATTTATTCCAAAAAGTAACTGTTACTAATGATGTTCTTTTTAGCGAGTGGGCTACAGCTGGCATCTATAAAAGTAGAAAATGTTTAATAAACTTTACGCAGAAAGAAATTATAACATCGTGAAGCTTTTAAGCAGTATGTACAAGGTTACGCAAAATTATTTAGTTTGTCAAATAGCCAAATCTAAATATCTGAGCTCAAAAATAGTAATAACAAAATCAAAATAACCTGGAAAATTATTATTAATGGTGAAACTGGAAGGTCTAAAACTAGAAATGCAGATTATAATCAACACATTGGAACATATTGACATATATTGAGAAATTGTCGAGCAGACTTAGCTTTGCAGCGTACGCATACGTATGAAGATACGCCAATTAACTGACGTAGATACCGATTAATATATTTTAGTTATTTCCTTTAGCTACTATTAAAAAAGTTCTTGCGAATAAACCGTATTATAAGGTGTCTGATTATATTTCAGATAAAAATACTTGGCTTTAAACTGTTCCAAAAATTCCAAAAATAGCCTCTATTTCAATAAGACTTCTAAAGCCGACCT